GTCCCATTAGAGTGTTTCACAAGAATTTCCTACAAGAGCGACCCACAAGAGTGTCCTTCCCAGAAGAGTGTCCCACAAGAATGTCCTACAAGAGTGTCATTTGGATGTATTAGTTTTTCGATTGTGTTTGCATTCGGGTTCGTAGGTTGCATCTTGTTTTTTTTTAAATCTGATGACCTGAAGGTTCCTTATGATTTTGCATAACTTTACAATTTTGCAAAATATTATAAATCAAATTATTTTGCAATTTTGATTTATATTTAAAATATTAACGATATTTATTCATATTATAATATCTGTATATTTTTACAATCTTTTATATAATCTTTTTAAGAGAATCGATTCATTCCTTTTATAGAAATTCAATTCTTTTTAGATAATCATTTTTAGCCAGGGGGGTCAATCCCGCCATTTCATATCTATAAAAATAATGCCAGGACCCCCTACACGATATTAATAAAAAGATAATAAAAGGATCGGAACTCTTTTATTTAGAAATACAACTTTCGTAATAAGTGCAATATTTTAGACATAAAAATAATTGTCCAGGAATTTAAATTTTATAATAAGTATATTCAATCGTGATTTTTGGATATGTGGTTCGTTTGCAGATTTCGCGTCAAATACAATATTCTAGCTAGGATCCTTAATAGGCAAATTTCGTGGTAGCAAGCATATCATTTTGGAAACCTCGAAATGCAGATTTCGTGGCAGACATAATATTTTATAAATCTCGAAATATAGATTTCATAATAAATATAATACTTAATAAATCTAGAAATGCGAATTTCGTGCCAAAAAAAAAATGTAAATATAATACTTTATAAATCTTAAAATGCAAATTTCGTGATAAATATAATATTTTGTAAACCTCGATATAGAAAATTCGCAACAAACACGAAATATAAATTTCGCGGCAAATAAACATTTAACAAATTTAATACGACACGTCCGAAATCTCGATATAATAATTTTTAAAATACAAATTTCATAAAGATACAATATTTAATTAATCCAATATTATAAATTTCATAAATATAACATTTTATAAATTTCGATATATACATTCCATAATCAATATATTATCATAATAATTTTCGAAATACAAATTTCGTTATAAATGAATATTTTATAAATCTTAAAATATAAAATTTAATCTAAACATTTTATGTTCTCAATTATTTTTTTAAAATTCTCATTTTCATTCTTTCACTTACTCTTCATTCACACTCACATTCACTCTCACCCACACTCACTCTCACTCACGCTCGCACTCACACCCACCCACTCTCCCATTCCCACTCATACTCCTCACACTCACTCACTCTCACACTCTCACCCTCACACTCCCGTCCTCACTCTCACTCACAATCACCCACTCACTCCCACTCACACTCGCTCCCACCGGAACCTACTCCGGAACGTCCTTTGGAACCTGCTCCGAATCTATTCCGAAGACTTTATTATGGCAGAAGGCCGCTATAATTTCACTATTAAAAAACACACATAATTTTAATTACTCTATTTAGGTATTTAAATTATTAACATAAACTATCTTTTGAATTTATTTTTGATATTTATTCTTTATGTTTCTTATTAATTATCGAATAATTTTACACAAAAAACTAAATCTAAATCAACAATTTAGACAAAAACACATTCTAATAAAACCTTAAAAAGGGGAACGTCCAACCAAGAGTCTCTAAAACATTTTTTTGCTTTCCCAAGGTTCTTTTGGTTTTTATATAAAAACGAAGATCCAGGCCCCATAGTCACCCCTTCTAAAAATAACTTAAACATAAATATATGATATATATATATTTCAAATAGTTATTAATATTGTTTTTACAATTCCCTTTATATATAGTTATTAATATTCTAATTATATATTTAGTTATAAATAAGTTTATTGTTTACATTTTCATGGGCTAGTAAAAAGATTAATAAGAACATATTGTATCAGAAAGATGAGACCTCCTGATGCCTGCCTTTAATCAATAAAATCAATGCGTGGCCCTTGTGAAAATACATATTGCCTGCCCCAGGGATAACAATTCCAAACCTATTGCTTTTATCAATAAAGGCACGCCGAACCACCCGATCGGCGCGTTAATACATTAACTCTTGGGAAAGAAGAAGGCGACTTCAACAATTCCACCAAACATGTCGGTGAAGTTTTTTCTATCAGCATGCCGGAGAGCTTACGTAGGACCTAGGCAAATTAGACTGAGACTTGACTAGTCAGGCTGACATCAACGTGGCATCATCTGAACCTTAAGCCCTACTCCGCACCAGCTCCATAAGGAAGACCTTCCGTTTTATGTGCATTAATCAATTTGGATCGTTTTGTGTCCCGATTGGGGCGCAAAACATCTCCAGAAAAGGTACTCCTACAACATATAGTGCTGCAAAAGACCAAAGGCATTCCAAAACGGAATTTTGATCTGGGTCCGCGAGGACGATGATTGGACGCCCTCACAGGACTGTAATTCCCATAGAGGCTGTCCCCCCCACAACTCCAGCCAGCAACACAACGACTGGCAACAACAAAACTGTCTTCGACAAACTAAATACTATACTATATATACCTAGAACCTGAATGACCTCTATTTTGGATCACCAACTGCCCAAAATAAGGTCTTTTCCTATCAAAACAGAGGTAAATTGGGCTCTAGGTATATATAGCCAGCTTGTAACTAACGGGTAAGTGGAAGTTTGCAAAAGGCAATTCTCCCAAGGGGGCCCAAGCCTCGCTTCAGTGTTAAGCCAGACTGTTAAGTTGCTATGTAAGCCTATTCTGCCGCGCACTTTGACCACTTGATGCTCCATTGGCCGTCCTGAACGGGGACTTGCGAGCTTGGTGAGCAGCTACAACTGCTGTGCTCCATATGCCATAAAACGCGGCAAGCACACCTGCACGATCGCTCGTTCAAGCCCAGAAGGGCATACCGCACAAGGGTGCCCATACGAATGATTGTGCCATTTCACTCGTGCAGGATGCAAGTGAATTTTGAATTGGACCACACCTAATTGTTGGCCTCGCTGTGATTACAGCCCAAGGTGCATGCAATGAATCGAAACATCTGGCCTACAAAAAGCCACATTTGGCAACACGGACCTAAAAAAGGACTCATCAGCTTCCCACAAATGTTGCCTTGAACCCTTGCTGGTTCTGAGAGGTGGTTCCCATTGGCACGGTCTTTGGTCCCAATGGGAACAGCCTCAAATGTACATTGCCATCTCCTCATCCCACCTAGGCTCGGCAAAATCCAGAAACATCTTGCACAGGCTTACATTCCTGGACTTACAAGTAGGCTCGTGCCTTGTATGGTCTAACACTAAGAATTCAAAATCCTAAAGCATCCTAAAACCAAAAAGGATTCGCAGAAGAAGGAAACAATCTTTGTTCTCGAGGAACCTTTGGCAGCTGGACTGTCGGCCTCTGTGTTGGCTTGCCTCGTACAATGGCCGAGGCAGCAAGCACCGCTTCGAAGTTAAACCACCAAACAAAACAGTGATGATATGTGATAATGACACATTAACAAATTACTCAAATTTGTTGCCTACTTGGAGTGTCCGAGTAAGTCCCACCCAAACGCATAAAAGGAATTTGCACCTTATCCGTCTGGCCCCTGCACGGCCCGTACTGTCATCAAGTGCTCATGCTGTTCGCGCCTCTCTGAAGCACATCCAGTGCTGCCAGGGCTTGGGGCTGACGTAGCCGAGCATAATCAAAGGCAGAGCGGTTGCTATCATCGCGATGTTCAGGATCAGCGCCATGCCACAAGAAGAGTTCCTGACTCTTTCTGTAACGCAACTTCATAGGGGAACATTTTCTTTCTGCGTGCTATCCTGCATCTGCTCAATCTGGCACTAGAGATGAACCATTAACCCTGAGACTCCCAGAAATCATCCTGAGATGGTGTGTGTGTGGGGGCCAGTGCTTTTAGCCTTTTCTTGAGCGCCCAAAACTTCCCACAAAATCTTGATCAAACTAAACTGCACGCGCATCTAATTTGAAGGTTACCTGCTGCGGACCACCTGAACAAATTCTCAAGGACATAAGCAACTGGACGGTGCTAGTGCTGCTTTGATTCGCACAAGTCAGCTCTGTCCTGGGCAGAAACTTGCTCGACATTTCTGGGCACTTAAGGTCGCAAGGTGACAGCGTGTGGGAAGATTCGGGGTGCGCCCTTGTTGATTGAAGGCAAGAGGCATGCTTGGCAGCCCAGTGAAGCAAAGTAAATCCGCGCCCCCAGCACATCTTATCCCATCCAATCTGGTCAATCTGCTGCATCACACCTGGTTGTAAGATGCTGAGCATGCATGCCGTAGAACTGGGGATCGTGCTGCTACCGCCTATCATAGTGGCATATGTCCAAGTCACATGTCAAACAACATCTGAAAAATCTCAGCCAACCAGCTTACGAACTTTAAACATTTAGGAAAAACAACTGCTTGCAATTGAAACGCGGAGATATGCTTCAGGAATTCCCTCTGACGATCCTGATTGTGATAAATTTTGCCTGAATGCAGCCCCAGCCAAGATCAAGAGGCGCAAAACAACAAAAATAAGAAAACAAGAGAGAGACAATGTGTTTGGTGTTCTGGTGTTCTCTTCACTCTGGTGTCCCCACCTGACAGCTTGTACAACCGTGGCTCTCCGCGACTCGGTCGGCCAATGCGATGACTCAGGTCCCTCACTGTTACTTCTCGGGCGGAAGTATGGCTCCTGCAGGGACGGAGCAGGAAAACCACGCGCAGGTGTGGCGAAATCAGGCATTGCCTGCTTGCACATTGGGCAAGAAATTCATATTCTCCAATTGACCTTCGACACAATACACATTATGCCAAAAACTAAAGAAAAATGTGCCAAAATTTTCGAACCATACTGCCGCACTCGTCCTTCATTCGAGCGTCAGCAATCCTTTCTGACCAGCTGCGGTGGAAATCGTTTGTCAATACAAATTTCACCACCAAAAAAACACACCAAAATGCAATCATTTATATTTACTGTCAATCTTTTGAAAACCTGGCCAAACATGATTGTTCGGATCATTGATCTTCGCATTTCTGCTGCAAGGCTGCGTTTCCAAACCCATTAGTTCCCTGAGCACGAGCTCCGCGTCATTTTGATGGGAATCGGTTGCACATTGAAGAGCTGTCCGCCTGGGTTCCAATGGCCAAGGACCAAGGACAACAACAAAAACATTTTACAGCTGGTTGATGTATATTGGTGTGTTGAGCAGTTGTTGACGCATCCGCACAATAATGGGGCATTTTATATAACGATGCTTCCAAGCTGCCCCCGGCTGTCGGTGGCATTGGGGTCTGCATTCAGTGCAACAAAGTACCTCAGTCAGTGGACACAAGAAACAAACCTCTTGGATTGGTGGTGTCCAGCCATGCCAAAACACCGGTCACCAGCACAGTGGGGTTGAGCGCCCGGGAAACAAATGGAACAACTGCAAGCATGTGAACCCCCCCACGCCATTTTGCTTTGCCATGGGCATTGGCAAAAGTTCAACCAAAGTTGCCGGCAGAAGTCGGCAAGACCTTTCTCAGCTGCCCAATGCAACAATGTAAATCCTTCAATCCAATTTACTGCATGCCAGCCTGCCCACCAAACGCAGTGATATCTGTGCAATCGAGAAAGCATGCTGGTCTGATCAATCAAGCAACACAAATAACGCGTTCAATGCATCGGAAAACGATTGAACACAAAAGTGCCTCTCTCCTCAACTACCTTGATGACATCCTTGGTGCGCATGACATGCCCCACTTTCTTTTCTACTCTATTATCTTTTTCTGCCTCTGCCAACTGTATTCTGTGATTGCACCGCTGCAGCTGACAAGTTTGTGAATCTAAAATGTATGATTGTATGTCAGTCAGTCAGTCAGCCAGTCTGTATTTGTATGTGTATGTGTGTCTGTGTGTCTGTCTTGTCTGTCTGTCTGTCTGTCTGCCTGTCTTGTCTGTCTGTCTGTCTGTCTGTCTGTCAATCTGGCTGGCTGTATGTATGTATGTATGTATGTCAGTATGTGAACAGAATTGAAAACGGCACGGTTGCGGCTGTTAAGAAGCTCCCCTGCAGCCTTTTACCACTAGCTGATGATGGTGCCCGTCCCTTTTGAGCTCAAGTCCACAACAGGTTGCCTGAAGTTGTTGGCCTGCTCAAAATGGTATCAGAAAACAAGAATGCAGGCAGGAGGGCCACACTTTCTCCAATGAAAGGTAGGCAGTAGACCGACGGATGCAGCCGTCCGGGCTCTTTTGTAGGAAGGACCTTGGGCGACCTAGAAATCAAAATTTCTTGCATTTCTTCGAGTCAGGAAGAGGAGTCGCCTTAATAAATTGTCAACAAGAAGGAGAAATGTGGAAAGGACGCGTTTGCGAGCATATGCTTCTTTAGGATGTGTCAGCTCATCAGCCCATTGAGGTCCACGAGTTCACCAAGAAAGCGGTGGAACAGATGTCAGGCCAGCTGAATTTGGTCACCTGTGAGCCTTTCAGGAGGGTTCCAGCCCTGAAGTGCTGGATCTTGATGGGTCTGCTCAGCATTTACAATGACGCAGACCTCAGAAAGACCTGTATCAATGTTGTTTCAGGCAAGTCGGGTAACACTTTCTTGCTGCTTTCCTCATGCAGCTACTTCTCCTATTGCATGCACAGGGCCTGCGTCCGTTTGCGCAAGAGCGACGTGACAATCTCATGTTTAAGCCACAAGTTGGTCTCTGAAAGAGCGGTCTTCTTCCAGCTCAGTGGGCGCCCCACTGAAGGAAGGAAGGAACCGACGTGTTAGCAGGGGGCATCCTTAGTCATCCACGAAGACGAAGCCCCAGTCAATGTCAGCAAAAAGGAAATGTCCTAGTCTGAGCAGGATTGCAGCGATCGGCCTCAATAGCCATGCCGTAGCTGCCCATCTGGTTCACCCACGAACTTCCATCAATCTGTGTCACCTGGTATTTCCACCCTTTGGTGACATCCGCCTTCAACATATGCCAGGTAGTCAGGCGGGAGCCACCCATGCGCAGGGCAGCTGGGGGAGCCCAAGGGTTTGGGCCGCCTCCAACCAGTGGATGGCATGGGCAGTCTAGGACTGTGGGGGCGGTAGTCTTTTCAACGGCGTTGACCCGGACTCTCATCATAGATAGTGCGAGCCTTGCCTCCCTAATCTCTGTCCGCCTTCGGTCCTGGACAAAGGCCTTCCGGGCGGCATCCACAGCACTTCGCTGCGACTTCCTTGGCGAAGGGGGCCTCGATCATCCCCATCTTAGCTTCTTCTTGGAAAGCCTCTTTTTGATGGCGGAATGGAGTTACTCCGCAGAAGGATGTTTCTCTCTGCGCTGGGGGTGCACAAGATCATCCGGCACGGTTTCCTTTCAATTTTGGTTCGCCAAGCCCGCCAAAAATTCTAGGTTGTGAGTCAACACCTGACCAAATCCATCGTGCTCTTCTGGATCGGGGGGAGGGTGTTCTGCCAGCTGTCCAGCATAAATCATCCATCAGGTGGAGGAGCGGCGCGGTCCCCGGAAGCGGGCCCGGCGTCCTCAGGAAGATAGCTGCAGCTGGCGAATCGAAACGGCAACCAAAAAGAAATAAACGCCCAAGCTCCGTCCTGCCTCCTTGCCTGCAGCCCCCCGTCACTCGATCCGCTCCGCTTGCAGTCAGCTTCCGGCAAAGCGCCTCCGTGTCCACCTCCACTGCCTGGTCCTGGTCCCCCACGTTCACAGTCGGGTGAGTTGTGGCCTGTTTCGGGGGTCGGGAAGGCCAATGGCAGCTGCATGTTCCGGCTCGGGAACCTCGTCCAACATGATGAAGGACTTCTGTCGCCACTTCCTCGTCCAAAGCGGCCTCGCCCATGGCCACATCAACCCGCTCCGCCGCGGCAGCAGGTGAAGACTGCGCAGGGCAAAAGATGCGAGTGGCAAAGAGAGTGCGAGCTTTCCAATCAGTTCGTCTCACAAAGACCCAGCTATGTCAACAACACATTGCTTGCTCTACACAAGTTCCGAGCAAAGATCCAGTTATGCACATACATATGTATATATAATCTAGATAAAACAAATATATGTATATATATATAACATTATATAACCATATTTAATCTGGTTGTATACGGGGCTTATGGGATATCGAGTCTCTTCGTAGGCTGCTGGAATGTTGGCACTGGATGGGCGCTGAAGTGTTGGCTCCTAGCAGGAAACCAACATGTAGCAAGATGTGTTTGACAAATGAAAAATGTTGGACAAGCTGAACAAGCCGAACGAGGTCCATAATTTCGCATGCTCTCCTGTGGGTGGAGGTCTGGCCCATGTTCTCGCAAGTACAAGGCCAAAGCATCCTTGGCTGTCTTCTTGCTATGCTGAAGCATGCAGTTGAATCGGGGCAGACGTGGCATATCAACCCCAGAGAGGCGGCCACAAATGTCACATAAGTTGCACGCGATGACCTTCCAACCCACTCGTAAACGAGTGCATCTTGGATTCATTGCCAGCCCGTTCTGCATAAAACAGAGGAATCCGTCCATGGCTATCTCGCTGTAGGAGCAAATCTTCCCCTGCTGGGTACCGCAAAAGAAATTCCATGATATCCCGCCTGGGATGCAAAAAGTACTGCGACAGGGCGACAAACAGGAATCGCGGGCATGAAGATGAGCGGAATAGAACTCAGAATCTGTTGCCACGAACATGTTGTAAATCTCAGTAACCTATTTGCAGCCAATCAGCCTTCCATGGTCAGCTGCCCAATGCATGGGAAATGGCTCTTCCTTCCCATCCCTGGGCAAAATGATGCCGCTGAAGGTGGCAAGAGCCTGCACAGGATAAGGTAAGCAACTATCGAGTGCAAGGAATGAGGCACACCTACAGCCGTATGCTTCAAATGTCACCTTCAAACCTTGCTCCGGGGGCACTTTTAACATATTTGGGGTTAGTCACTCGTGTATGTGGTCATTGTCATCTCGTTCCCCATGTCGAGACCGCGTCACCTGCCTTGACCACTGACCACGGCACTTCGTCCAGTGCTCCGGAAGCCCGAAGCAGCACCAGTTCTCGAGCAAGGAGTTCGATGTCAAGCTCCAACCGCTCAGCTACCAACCTCATGTTCTCGTGGACCACCAAGGAAAACCAGGCTCAGCCTCCCTGGGAAATTCTGGAAAAAATACTCGCAAGTAGTGCAGATATACATGTGGTTAATTTGGAGGAGTTGCTCATCAAGATCAGAGACCGAACCTGCCAGTTGACTTGTTCGCGCCAGCCGTACGGCATTTGTTTCATGAAAACCTCCCTGCAGAAACAGCTTGCCTGTCGGTTCCGCATCTCTAAGAAGCAATGTGCTCTTCACCTGCTCCAGCAGGCTTTCCAGCTCTTGGGCAAGGCCTCATCTGCCCATCGCACCCAAAATCTGACAGAGGTTGCAGCTCACACATTTATCATTGCCTTTCCCAACCGCTTTCAGTCAAAGCACGCCATCTTCTTGTGGACAGCCGGTGGAGCAATGTCTGGAGCATGGCCTCCGCTACGCGGACCACGGACAAAGTTCTCTTGGCAGCTGTCAACTGCACCATGGGTATCCATGGGTTGCTTTTTTACATGCTTTGAACACGAGTCCTTCTTCACATAAATATCAATTTGCAAGGGTTTGCCTCGCCACCATCAGGAGCAGTGGACTCAAACCTGAGAACATGCACCGGTTCAATGCACCACCAAGGAAGCAGGAAAGTAACGATGTGCACCGGGGGTCACCAAGCCTCCAAGGATAAACGGCGATCAACTTTAAATATAACATAAATCAATTAAACTATATACTTATTGAGGAATCTTGAAGATTTTGCTGTGCATCATGTTCACCAGTTAGAAGACCAAGAAGCAACCGGGCTTCCTTAGGCTCCCTTCGTTGCAATACGCGTGCGATCTCCAAGTCAATGGTTGCATGATGTGCATCTGCGGCCCGTCTTAAAGCTGAAGTGATACGTTTCCGCAGCTGCTTTGCCTGGTTCTTTACGACGTTTAAGCGACGTGGTATGTGAAACACTGCAATGGCAAGAACATACATTGAGAACATGTGAGAACCCCAAACGCAAGGATATCCAAGACCTTCTGCTGGAACTCATTCTCGGGCTCTGCATCTGCATTCGAGCGATCTGGAAGAAGCTTGCGCTTGGAATTGAGCTGGCTTGATAGTTCCTGGGGAAGGACCGGCAACTTCCCAAAGCCCATTTGCACCCCCAACTTCAACGAAACTCAACACAACACAACACTGGTAAATACGTATATATATTACATGTATATAATCACTATAATTACTAAATGCTGTTAACCCAGACGCCTGCAATTTCTCTCGCAAGGTGGACTCAGAGTGAGCAGTTTCCTCCAGCTTGGCGTTGAATGCGACCTCGCTACTTCTCAGCTGGGACTGCAAAGTCTGAGTCAGACTGTTCTGCTCATCTCGACTCATTTGCATCTCAGCCAGATCTGCCTGCATTTCTGCCAATTGAGTGGCGCTCTGCACCAGTTGCCGCTCGGCTGTATCTTTTGCAACTCGTTCGTCTGCCAAAAGCTTCTCTTGATTCTGTAGGGCACTTCGCAGTGCCGCTTCATTGGCTCTGCGTGCCTCTGAGCTCGCTAAAGCCTCGAGCAAGGAAAACTCCTTCTGCGCCAGTGTCGCCTTTAAATCGGCTTCCGCTCCCTGCAAGGATTCTCCCTCTTTTCGAGCCAAGGTCAGCTCCTCCTCCAAACCTGATATACCTAGGCGCAGTAGGTCTTCACAATCTTTGGCTAACATCCACTTTCTGGAGAAAACATTACGAACTATCTAATATAAACTACCCACTTCGAGTTATTCCGAGTGATCCCCACCCTGAGAGCTGATCTGGAGGTACTGACTGACTGTCCAAAAAAATGACCTACTACCTGGTTACTACCTGACATATGAGATGATATGAGTTATGATGTACTGACAAATGTACCCACATCCAGTCTGCGGGATCGGACACGCACTGGCAGAAGAGAAGGAGTGAGGAGCGAGGAAGAGGAGAACTGAGATAAAATCCATAGGGACTCTCACCAATTATAGCACCATCGCACCAAGTGGCGAATCTGTAGTTCTGCGGCCCGATCACTGTGGCTGTCAACAACCTGCTGGCTTTCAAGGAGCTTCGTCGAGAGAAGCTCCACCTGAGCCTTGGCCTCTTTGCTGTCGTTCTCCAAGGACACAATGACACCCTCTTTATCCTGACAAGAACGCAACACAAAACTGAGCAGCCCACCGTCGCCACAAGCCGCGGAGAATCCATGGGAAATCCCTCCCCAGCCCAGCCTTCATCTCAATGTTAGCTGCCACCAACTCACTCTCAGCATTCTGCAAGTACTGCTTCAGCTCAGCGGCAAGTTTCTCTTGAGCCTCACAAACCCGATTTTTAGACTTTCACTGAGGTTACAATATTGAATCGAAGCCTGCCATCACCCATACTGTACACACATGGCCCATCATGGCCCCAAGGCCTTTGCGTTACTCAGCGCTCCAGAAAGCTCTGCATCTGTCACTTTCAGTCGCTCCTCTAGTTGGGATTTCAAGTTCTTCTGAGTGTCACCTGAGAGTGGCGGAACGTTGAACCATGTATGCACTTTAGCATTGCCGCCCCTAAGGGTCCAAAAGGTGTGCCCGTGTCTTGGACAATGAATCGGACAATGAATGAACCTGCGGACAACGCATCTAGTACAACATTGAAGCACATCCCTGCGCGATCGAGCAGCAAAGTCCTTTCACGTTTTCAAGCTCAGATTGGAGCCCACCCAGCTGTTCCTGCGGCCAAAAGTGCATTCTTTATTGGATATTTGATGACGCCTGATTCTAGATGTTGTTCACTCATTCCTGGACTGAGCAGTTATGCTTGTTGTTGCTGGGTCTTTTGATGAGCTGCATCTATAAACAGTTTCCAATTGGTTGGAGGACAGGTCTAATATAGTTTGCTATTAGGTTGGATGCCAGGACGTGAGGCCTCGAGCGCAAGCTGCTCTTGGCGTTGCAGGTCTCCCGATTGCACAGCCGCTGCCAGCTTAGACTGGAGTTCATCCTTAGGCTTGGGGGTGTGGCCATGGAGATCTTCCTAGCATCCCTTGCAGCTGTGACCGAAAAGACACATCCACAGTATGGCTCAGTATGGTCTTGATGCTGTCGAAAACATGTCAATGCACTCAACATGAGCAACACAAAATCCGAGTAGCAGTATCCCTTTCCAACTTTGCCTTTGCTGATGCTTGGAGCTCGTTGTCTGAGAGTGCTGCAGCTAATGAGCTATCCAGCATCGCCAGTTGTTGCTCCAACTCAATTTCTCTTGCCGTGTGCTGTTGAATTTGGGATTCGGCTTCAGACAGCTTGGCTTGTGAGGATTCCTCGATTGCAAACGATTCGTGGTATAGGCCAGCCAAGTCGGCGACAAATGGCGACAAAAACAGGAGATGACACTCTCAACATCATGACACTATAGTAGTTTGTCTAGCTGCATGCCAACCAGCGCACAAAAACATCGCAAAGATAAATCATTCAAGAATCCAATCCATTGCTGAATTGCAACATTCGATGCTCTTGTGAAGAGAACTCACTTCGGACAGTAGAGAGCTCTGACATGGTCTCTTTCAACCGCTCCTCCAACTGGCTCGCCAATGACCTGGTTCGGTGTTCAAACATAACATATCATATCCGCCGAAGTGAGAGCAGGCCAAAACATCCACAGTTTACCTAACAAAGTCAAATACAAGCGAAATATGTATAAATATGTATCCATTCGTGTGTCGTGTGTGCACACAAGCATCTTGTCAACCCTAACCAAGGACACACAAACACGCAAAAATATCACACAATCACAAGTGCACCAAGTACACACGGCCAATTGCACACAATACTAATGGAATGGATGTAGACCACCATTTTTCCTTTTGCCAGGCTGCTCTTGCAGCTTGAACTCATTGCGAGATTCCGAGACCAAATGGTCTCGTTGAGCAAGTTGTTTTCGAAGCTCGGTTTCCATGCTCTGCAAAGTTTGAAAGGCGGTGTTGGCCACACTGAGCTCATCCTCTGATTTGCTGAGCTGTGCCCGAAGCTCCTTGATCAGCTTCTGGCCCTGACTTGCATCAGTCTGGAGCTGAACCAAATCCTCTTCCAAACGTGACTTCAAAGCCTCCTGGGCTGCGAGGTCGGTGCGATTTTGGGACAAGTCAACCTCCGAGGACCTCAAAGTTCCCTGCAGCCGGGAGATCAACTCTTGCTGCATCTCTTCAGTCATCATGGCTTGAGCCAATTGAGCACTTGCCTCTTGCAATTTGTTTTGCAATAGCAACCCTTCAGCCAGTTGCATCTGATGGGATTCATCTTGCGCAGCAGTTTTGTCTTCTAGGCTCTTGACAGACATCCGCAGGGTGGAAACTTCGGCTTCCAATTGAGCCACCTCATGTTCCAATGCCAGATTCTTGCTGGTGTCACTGCGGTGCCTTTCCTGTGCTTCATCCAGGGCAGCTTTCAGGCTACTGGCCTTGGAATGCAACTCTATTTCGATGCCTGACTGCCGTTCCAAGGCCTGCTGCAAAGCAGACTGTTCGCTGGAAGCTTCTTGAAGCTGTTCCTTTGTCTTGCAAAGCTCCTTCTCAAGTGCTGCTGTCTGTGCTTGCAGTGCTGCACCAGAAGCGACATGACTGTCGAGCTCTTCTTGCCTGATGCCAAACTCTCGCTCTAACTCGACCACTTGCTGCTGCAACGCTGCTATTGCGAGCTGGTCACTGTCGTGAGCTAGCTTCACTTTAGCCAGCTCATCTTCCAGCTGGGATATTTGCTTCTTGAGGGAGGTTTCCAACTCATCCTTTGCCAATGACATCTCTGGGATTTTGCCACATTCTTTTTCCAAGCCACCCACCTGTTGTTCCAAATCAGCTTTGCGGCCTTGCAAGCCCTCGCAGGCCTGCTGCGACAGCAGGAGCTCCTCGCGTGCATGTTTGGCTTCTGCTTCTGCACGCTGCTTGCGCTCCTGCAATGCCTCCGCTTTTCTCCTCAGATCGCGCAATGCTGAGTCCCTCTCACTGAGCTCCTGCTTCAAAGCAAACATGCGACTTTGATGGCTTTCTTCACGACTCTTTGTTCCTGCCAAATCCAATTGGAGGTCTGCAACAGCCTGGTCCAGGTCCTTGTTCAGAGACTCAAAGGTCTGAATCTTCTGCCTCGCCTTTGCCAAAGCAGCTTCTTTCTGACTTAGCTGTCTCTTGAGGCTGGATTCGCGGCCTGTTTGCTCTTCACAGTGCCTGTGAGACTGTCCCAGCTCCTCCTCCAATGTGAGCAACTTTTGCTTCAAATGCGAGGAGAGGCGCCGCTGATCCTGCGATGAAAGTAATCATATCACAATCAGAAGGAGCGAAACGACCTTGAATGAGAACAAATGATACCTGATTGTTCTCAGCACGGTCTGATTTAGTGTGGACACTTGGAAACACATTTGCCGCACACATGCTTGTGCCACTGCCAAAAGCACAACACATAGGCATGCTTCATGCTTGAAGGCTCAGCATGATATCAAAAAGAATACGGCCGGGGCATCTTAGCCCGCATCATAATTTGACGTTGACATCACATCCCGTGTGGCCTCTGCCACAGTTTGCTCTGTTGCCAACTCATTTTGCAGTTGCTCCATAGCTCTCTGCATTGCTTGATGGACTTCAGCAGATTCATCCAAGTCTGTGCATGAATGGTTCAACTGCTCTGAAGCCGGCAGTGTTGTCATGGAGCTCTTCCTGGGTCTACTTGCTGGGGATCTGTGCATCAATGCATCATACATGACGTGACTTTTGAATCCGCATGTGATATCGTTCGACCTTTGCACACATTGCTGCATCTACTCTGCGTCCACGAACATCAATCAGCCCAAGCATCAATTCAGCCTGCTGGGCCTCGATCGTCTGCCGCGCTGTGGCTAAGCCGGCCTGCAGCTCTTCGATGCGATGTCGATATTTCTGCTCCAAATCCTGGTGAGCGTCCCTTAGTCGATGCCACATGGGCCAAACATGGGCAATTGGAACAAGGAAGCACGAAGGGGGCGCCAGGGGGCCAACGCAAATGCCACGGGATTTAGATCGCTTTAGCATGTCACATTGACGTGGGCAGCCACGTCCTTGTACGCATGGCACCGCTAACAGTGCATCCTATGCTTTGTCATCCAGCAGCCACCTTTCTTTTCTAAACTACACGAAACCGTTCGCAGGCCGAGCACTGGCAGAACATGAAGAAACCAATCAGGGCCCCGGTTGAAAGCAAAGAACATCTATGTGACCGGCAATGCGTGTTGCAAACCGGTGAGCAACATTGCGTACCTGCACTCTGTATGGAGGTCACTCTCTGGACTTCCACTATCTTCCACTCCATTCAGTCAAACATTCCAAACTGTTCTAGCCTAGTGACTGACCCGCTGCAGCATCCCCTCTTCTTCGCTGATCTCTCTCGCGGGTTCCCCATACTGAGACTGTCATACACCTACCACAGTATCCTCCTACACCAGCATTTCCACATCTATCCTCTCATAGCCGCCCTCCTACGTAGTCCATGATACAAACACTATCCACATGATGCAAAATGAGCGAAGATACCGCAACTGCGATCAGCCTCAAATGTCTTCTGCCAAGATTCCTTCGTTCTCTGAGACCATCCAGCTCGGAGTGCAACCTCAACTTTTCTGGAGCCAAGGAAGACAGAACCGCACAAGCCAAAGAAAGCCACCTTCAAGAGTGGTCAGCGTCAAGATTCATTTTGGCTGGATCCAAGGGCCTCGCTTGGCCAATTCGTTCTTCAGCTCCACTCCATGCTGCAGCTGCGCCTCAAGGCTTTTGGAAGCAGAGCCCAGTTCCTCTCGCAGCACATCCTTAGATTGAAACATTCCCTGGAACAACACTTGCCAAAGAGGTCTCAGAAATAATCAACAGCTGGACAATACTGGAGTAGCAAGGCTGACATTAAAGGACATCAAAAATCATCAAAAATATTCAATTGATCTGAAGTCCAAGTGTGCCGTTGCAAGCGTCATGCTATGCCGGCCAAGGAGCCCTCTCAGAGAGAATCTGCGTTCTCTCATCCTCCAAGGCCTTGACCTCTTCGCGGAGACCTGCTCAACTCTCAGCAGCTACAAGTACAGTAAACATGGAAAGCGGGTCACTGAAAAATGTAGGGTTGAGTGGAATGAGATGGGTGAATGCAATTCGGATGAGTCACCGTCGAGTGCATTCCCGATCTGTTCCCACCTTGGAGCTCTGTCTCAAGGTCTGAACTCTCATCCTGGTGCCTTTTCAAACCTCGAGAGGTCTGAACAGAGGTTGAAAAGCCGATGAATCGAACGGTCTGCTCGGTCTGTCGGTGAATCATTGATCGGCTTTCTCTGAAGCTGATGAGGCTGTGGCTGGCATCTTGAGCCTCCAGAGCTGTTTGATGCTCCTCCTTCAGCTTTGCGACCTCTGCCATCAATTGCCTTTCTCGAATCTTTGCTTCCTGCCGTTGCTGAACACCAGAAGGCATACCAAGGCCAATTGTTGTGTCAAGCTTCATCAGTCTAGTCTACCATCTGCCTTCTCCCTTTCAAACGCCGACAGCAGTACACATGAAAATTACGTTGCAAACGTATGCAAAAAGTCTATGATAGTCTATGCCTAGGAGCGATCGGACGCTACTAGAGGCGCTCCTGGTCTACTAATTGCTAGGAACAAGAGGACGCTACTAGGAACAAAGGGCATCGCTACTGGGAACAAAGGGCTTTGCCACGAACGGAGCGATCGGACGCATTCCGAATGTCTTCCGGTACCGATCTGGGTGCGGCTGAAGGGCGTCCGCTAGGTCGGCTTTTGCTTGAAGCAAGCGGCCATGGGCTTCCTGCGGTGCGTCTGCACGTTGAAGACACCATGACCAGGTTCCGTTTCCCCATCTCAGAACCAAGTCATTGCGAAGGGCCCTTCTGCGTCCCTGTAGTAGCTTTCTTGGTGATACTAGCCCGACTGCTTACCTTCTTGTCCCTTCAAGGGCCGGCCTTCGGCTATCCGCCACCCCGCCACAAAAATGACAGAAAGAAAACAAGAAAACTGTCGTCTTCATGCACCTTTTTTTGAAACACCACGGCGTTTTGAGCGTGTCCTCAGCAAGGCGAGCTCGTTCATCAGAACGAGAAGCTGCTTCTTCCACCTCCTTGACACGCTGCGCCCAGTCGGACCTTGATGGCCAGTGGCCGGCACCCCGTTGTGCAACAAGATGAAACAATGAGAAGTAACGTGAAACAATGTGAAACAATGCAACTGATGCACTTTCACGGTCCGCGCATGATTCCCAAGAACTACGAACTGGACTGTACAAACTGCCAAAGCTCTTTCATGGACGATGATGGAACTTAGCCAACTAGTTGCGAACTTGATTGATAACTCCATGACTCTACCTGACGTCTGCTTCGCGCATCCAGGGCACTCCAACTTGACAATGTGCTCTGCGTTGGCGCGCCACTTGCGGTTCTGCAGTTCCCACTGCCAGTTTGGTGTCGCCAGTGGAGCATGCCGGACCGTTGTATACACGAGGGTTGGGTTGAGCGTGCTTTGGCCTGGGTGTCTGAGTGTGGCATCGCCAGTGGGGCTGCTGAAGCCGCTGCTTGTGCAGGGCTCCTGTGGTGGCCGGACTTGCGGATGCACAACACGCTGGGGCTGGACGGGTGGGTTCGAAGGCTCTGGGATGTCAAAGGGCTTGTCCTTGTGCTCTGCATCCCAACCTTAGCTCTTCACTCGTTTCATGCAGCCGCCAAAGGATAAACCAATTGCACAAACAAACATACAAGAACGAACATTGGAATCACTGGGGGGGTTGTGCATGATTGGGCCAACATTCAGTGAGCCCCCCGGCAATTGTCAAAGAAGGCCTTTACCTCATCAAGCTCCTGCTGCATTTGCGTCGCCACGCCTTCTATTCTGGCGAACCTCTGGCAAAGTGCGAATACGTGTGAAAACCTTCGCATTCAGTCAAGCTGAGCCCGGTGCATAGCTGGCTGTTTCGCGCCCTGAGTCAAGAACAGTGGGTCATAGTACAACATCACCAAGCAAAACCAGGAACATGAGACAGGTATTGGACAACCGTGAGCCCCCCCAAATATTCTAGACGGTGCAGGTTGAACATTTCTTGTTGTCAGTGGACCAGAAGGACCCATGACTCTTGGAGCCTGTGATCGGGATCGAGCTGTTGAAGACCTGAAGGAACTGCCTCGAAGCGCGGGTGAAAGAAGAATGAAAGACAAACTAAATCCAGGAATCAACCCACAAGCGACAACTTACACATCATGCACTTCTAGTTTTTTTGAACAAAACATACCTACAAAGACACATGAAAGGTCTCATGCAGGCCAAAAATGGTTGGAGTTTGGAGTGCCAGCCAAAACTTGGTTGTTCTCACACATCCTACTTTGTGTGAAGGTTGAATCACACACACAGGCTTGATGCATCACAACAAATCACACGGCATCTCCTGAGAACATCTGGATGGATCCCAGGCCTTCAGCGACGCCCGATGCATCTTCGTTCGGCTTCCGGGGCAATGGCGTAGGTGCCGATGAATGGCCCGAAGCTTGGGAGTTCGGTCGCCCTTGCAGCACCTCGTGAGATCGCTTTGGCACGGCAAACGCACGGCAAACGGCAAACGCATGAAAAAGAGCAGTGGTGTCTTTTTGGCATGCTCTCACCTTTCATCTTTATGATCTTTATGTTGATCTCAAGATCTTCATCCTTCCCACTCCTTCACGCGCTCCAGGTCTATCCCCTACAGCTCCTGCCCGGCGACCGGGCCTCTGTTGCTTCTGCAATTAGCTCTGATGCTTTCACCTGAGATGCCAGGACCGGGACCTAAACACACTTTTTGCATTTTTTTTTGGGGGGGGCGATCTTGCATATACAGCAATATAATACGTATATATAAATATATATATTATCTTGCCTATGTTCAACAGCAAGCTCGTGGTCGACCTCCGGGTCCAAAAACTACAGTAACAACAGAAACTTGGAAAGATCAACTCACGTAAAGGCACAGGAGTTGCCACCAGTCGAAGTTGACGACCACGAGCTTTTGGAAGCGGCTGGTGAGCTTTAGCCGGTTGGTGGGCGGCAACCTCAGAAAATGGCTAGTAACAAAGGGCATCGCTACTAGGAGCAAGAAGCTGCTAGTAGCTCCTGGCGGTACTACTAGTAACAAAAAGCTACTAACTAGTAACAAGGGCATCGCTACTAGTAACAAAGGGCATTGCTACTAGTAGCAAAAAGAAACCGCCCCCGTCCCCAGGGAGTTTTGTCGAATTCGCACGTGCCAAGATTGCCGAGGAGTTTCATCTAAGCATGCAGTGCTGAACAAGCGTTAATAGCCATAGCTTCATTTGGGGTGGCACCTTTGATCTAGAATCGGGTTTTACATTTTGGTTGAAGGGGCGTAAATGTCCAATCAACTCAACATAGGCATGGTTGAACAATTTATATAGTCTCTTCATTGTGACATGTTGCAGGACATGTCGAAGCATCTCTGATGCATGTTGCTGTTGTCTTTGGAAGTTCCGGTCAAGTGCGCTTCAGGGCTCTGAGTGATAGATCGATGATTGCCTGAATGTAGTCGGTTTTACTCTTTGGGTTCCTGCATGGGTGTATTTGTTTTGTGGAATGTTGCGGATGCATTTTCATGATTTGGTGGATGGTTGGATGCCATTGGTCTGTAGCCATCAATGATGAGCTGCGACTGTCATGTGCCAAACGCAAACCCTTCACTTGTCTTATTTTTTTTGGCAAGCTTAGCCCCCCTTCATGCCGCCCAGGAACCAATGGCTTTGTGACCACCATGGGCTTGGGAACAGCCACTGGCTTGGGCACTGGCACTGGCTGGACTGCCATTGGTTGCACCGTAACAGGTTCCACGCAGGAGCTGCAAGCCGCCATCATGGTGACATGAAGTTGAGAAGCTATATACTATATACCATTTTAAGCAAGTGTTTCCTCATCATGTAGCTGCACAGAATGTTGGTCTGCATGTTTGGTGTTTTTGGTACTGAACACGCAGAGTTTTCAACATCTGCAGCTTCATATCAAGAACCCCTTCAAACCTTAAAACCGTTGTGCCGTTTTAGGGCTTTGCTGGTGCCGCACCGTTCTCATGCAGTCTGAACAAGTAAAGGAGCCCAAACACTAAGTATACTGTATATGGCCTCATGTGTCTGTCTGAGAAGTCAGATTCACCCTCCCAATGTGTCCTTTGGCCCCAACCTAAACTCTTTAAAAAAACGAGCACTCACAAACAATCTAACAAACCATGCAACAACATTTCGAGATTGTGATGTCACTGCCGTATGAATGATGTCAATGTTGAGTCTTGTTGGCCGATGCTTCAGGACGGCAGCTCTGCCATTGCCGAGAACCATCCCTTGCTTGTCAATCCGCGTGTTTTTCTCCACTGAATGATCTCGTGCCGGCCAACCTACAGTTCAGTATTTACACGTATCCTCCATTTTGGTGGACATCTGCCAAGTTGCGTCAACATCACGCATCAGCGAAAGCCAGGACCAAAGAAAACCGCTCCTCCTTCCGCGGCAAAATGTACTTCATAGAGCCCCAAAAGTCGCAAACCACGGGATGGGCACCTAACTCGGGTGCCTTCAGCTCCATGCCAGCACGAATCCCATGCCGCCAATGGTAGCGTGCATCGCCAGTGAATGCTGCAATGCTGCGGCGTCGGATCAGGACATCCAAATCGTCGTCGGTCCAAGACTTTTGCTCCACTTCGACACCTCTTCGACCTGCGACTCCATCTGGTGTGAAGGTCAGCACTGCGCCACTTAGGATCCCCAGAACAAAGACATGAGGGCCATCTGTGAGTGGATCTACATGAGGATGAATCATGAAGAAAGACCCAGTGCGGTGATTAATGGTGCAATCTCTCAAGGGGCCAAGTCTGTAGCCTTTCTCAGTCAATCGCTGCACTATCTTGCGCACCATCTTGGGCAGCTGGGCTGTGTCGAGGTCAGCCCCATATCCCCAAGGTGCCACGATCCCAACTTGATCGTCACGCGATTCAGGCCGCCCGGTCGCTCGCTGGGATCGATTCTGGCCAATGTCTTGGGTGCTTCCTTTCGCGTCCATCAGCTGCATGTGAACCATTTCTGCTTCGAAGCAGAAACCATACTTTCTTATAACCTCTCGGAGTTCTTTGGCAAGCTCCTGACCAACTTGAAAGGGTGCAGGCAAGCTTGTACACATTTGTGCAGCATGAAAGTCGCAAGTAAAGCCACGAGGCAGCAAAGGATCAGTCTGAGTTGAACTTCACGCGAACCATAAAGAAACATGTAAGCAGGGAATTCCAGGGCTGCACGTAAACCAAACATGCTTGTCAACTTGACAAGTACCTAGCTTTAGCATCGTGTCCTGCTCCTCTCTTTCATCAATGAAATTTGGCTCAACGCGCAGGCCAGGATTTTCCTTGTGGTCGATGCACTCTCCAGTCATATTTCGGATCCTTTGTAAATCCTCCGGCGTTTTAAGTGGCTCTGAAAAGCGTGCAACACGTCGCAAAGACTTTGTCTTCAATCGGCTGGTGATGTATCCTCAATGCTCCAAAGATTTACTTAGCATTCCTCCTTTGCCATTGCCGGAACGCATTCGTTCGGTCAAAGGGTCCGGGGATCATACTCATGGTTCATATCGGGAGTCTTTGAGCCTCGGTATGCCAATAGGTTTTACTTCAAGGGGTATACGGTATGCGTTTGCACAGATTGTTGGAGAGGGAGGGCACTACTGATTGGTCTCGTGCCTCGTCCTTTCCAGGTCGAAAGGCAAATGGCAATGCTTCAAGCTGAAGATCTCCACCAAGCTTCAGTGAGGCACGTTTCACACCAAATTCTGCCCACAAATCACCTCTGAGCTCTGTGGAGTTCGAAGATGTTGCTCTTCCAATGCCCAGGACTATATATATAAGAAACACGTGAATGATGCATTTATCGTCGTTCTTTTGGTTCTTCAAATCGCTTTATGAAAAATCCCTGGACACATCAAGCAAAAAGAACGGCTTCTCAGCATAAAGCCAGAGGCGATGCAAAGAGCTGGCCTCAAAGCAACAAAAAACATGTTTATGGTTTACAGCAAATAGCACCTCACAACACCTATCATGCCGCCATCCCTTGAGCTGTTCAATCAGAAACCTTCAAAACGCTACACGGTCTGAAATGATCTTTCCCGTCTTCCCGTTCCTGCCTCAGGTGCTGCAGGTGCTGGGGAATTAAAGATCCAACATCTTGCTTGCCGTCTTTCCTGCAAAAGCCCGGAGGCCGCGGCGGCGAGTGGCGCAGCAGCCAGGCGCTGAAGTCTCATGGCACGGATGCGCGCGGGGCGCTCGGTTGTCGTTGAATTTTGGACCTATGCAAACTTACCTATCATGATCTATTTCATCCAGCCTATCGTGACCTATCCCCTCATTCTTATGCATTGTCATGGTGTTTCTGGGAGAGATGATAGCTCGATTTGCTCTGCATTATATAGCAATGACCACTCCATGCGATCAATGACAAGGATTGGCCTCTCACTTCCTTCGTGTGATCCCAAGCAATTGTTGTCACAAAAGGGCAATGGACATGGCGGGCTGCTTTCACGCATAGGCTCTGGGTTGTATCTGCTTGTTTGTGGGTGTTCGGCCTAGTGTTGTGCGCTCTCCTCTCTCGCTCTCTCTCTCTCTCTCTTTCCTAACGCACCTGAGCCTAATGCATCTGAGGCATAGGTTGGAGTCTGAAAGACTGTGACAAGTGGTTTGGGCATCCTGCTGTCACATTCAGAAAGAAACGCGAGCAATTTTCAAACCCTCCAGTCCATTTTAGGCAGCCAGCGGTGACGCTGCATGAAGACCTTCTCGGCTTTCAGGAGCTGTTCCGTCTATCGAGTGAAAGCCAGGCACCCCCTTTGCGCAAGTGGTCGAGTCCATCCCGCGGACCGAGTCCATGACTCGCGTTCTTCGCCGGGAAATGGTTGTTCGTCATGCGATATTTCAAAGGTCTCAAGTCGAATGATATTTCGTGAGCACAGGCACTGCTCAAAGATCTTTGTACATCTCTGTCCTCCACATGGGCAGTGCTTCTTGTGCTACTGACAGAACTCTCTTGGATATCCAAAGTTGCTCGAATCCTAAGAACCGACTGGTTGAATGACAAATGACAATTGAAAGGTTTGGATTCTGCAAGTCATACCTTGTCATACAGTACCTCTTCACCCACCTTGTTTTGGGTCAAGCTTGGACTGAAACAAGCAACATGAACGTGCTTCACAAGCAGGTCTGAACTCCTTGCCCTCTGCCGCGAGCGGCTACGCTTCCTGCACTGCAAAAGAAGCCGCATTCTCCCAAGTTGTGCATGAAAGGCTATGATATTGGATGTTGAAAGACCTTCTGAGACCTTCATGTTGAGGGGTTGGCACCAAGCGCCCAAATTGACTACGGCATCCAGTATCCAGAAACAGTGAACAGAAATTGTTCAGCCGGCAACGGTGTACTGTATAAATTTGACAGCAACTTGCCACACGTCCCTTTCATGAGCTTTGGTCCAAAGAGCAAATCAAACAGCTACTAGCGCATGGTTCACTCTTTTGACATCACCCATGGTCCATATCATTCCATATCCATATATATATATATAACAAGAAGCTACTAGGAGCTCCTGGCCTTGCTACTAGGAGCAAGAATGCTACTAGGGGCTCCTGGCATCGCTACTAGGAGCATTCTTACTACTAGAACACACGTCAAAACACCCCACCTCCGACGGGAAGTGACCGTGTTTTCTTTCGCTGCTTCCGACGGTCTTCGCCGATACACCTGACTTGAGAGCTTCAGGTTTGTTGCCACCGAGTCACATCAACTATAATAGCGATGGCCTCCTACTAGAGATGGCCTCCAACCTAATAGCAAACTATTCCATAGTTCGTCAACCAACCCAATGGTCACATGAAGCTTTTACCGGCTGCCGGGCAGTCTCACCTTGAAGCCAGCTCTGGAGCAGCCTTCAATGCGGCAAGCTTCTTGAGTCTCTTCCACCTGATTGAGAAAGGAGAGAGGGCGGCAAACCTTTCTGACTGGACGAGGAGCAATGCAAACAGAAAAAAGCACACATTGTTCTCAAAAGGCAGGCATGGATTGAAACAACTCTTGCAACACGTGCAGCCACCACCACCACCACAACAACAACAACAAGTAGTGACTAGTAGTGACTAGTGCTAGCAACAGTAGTTCTGGTGGTGGTGGTGGTAGTAGTCGTGGTGGTGGTAGTAGTGTTGTTACTACTGCTGCTGCTACTACTGCTGCTACCACTACTACTTCTACTTCCTTCTACTTCTGCTACTACGATGACGACTACCGCTACGACCACTGTCACCACCACTACTGCTACTTCTGCTACTGCCAACCGCCAACCGCCACTACTACCGCCACTATGACAACAACTGCAACTTGAGGCCAGAACCGTAGAATTTACAGCCCCCTACCAGAACGTGGAACTTGGCAAAGCACAGCAATCAAGTTGAGCCTCCTCTTTGGAAGGCCTGGGCGGGTTGGCCACAACATGCCACAACAGAAACTAATTGCGGCGCTGGCACTGCTGATAATTGATTGAGGTCTTGGCGCTGGCACTGCTGCTGGCTGGCTTTCCTTCTGCATCTCAGCGACCACCTCAGTTCTGAGCCACCAAAACTGTTACGCATTCCCATGCATTCCCCATCGAATCTGGAACAACACCGTCAACAGCTTAGTTTGGGAATTAAAACTGCCGAGAGGTGTGCCCACTGACCTCCCTGACAGAGGTCTTTGCATGGAAATTTGAATTTCCCAGGGTGCGACGATTCAAATCCCCAAATTTTTGCTTTGTGGCCTGGCCAGGGGATGGCTGAGGCCTGAGCCTCTGGATCAGCAGCAATGTCTGCCGCGAAGCCAAGTGCCTCCATCCCCACAGCGCGGCGAATGCTCAAATGTTCAGACTCTCCAGCTTTTCACTTTGAGGCTCATAGTGACTGTCTTAGTATGTGCAAAATATTTCATAAATACAGGGTGGTGCCAGCTTCTGCAAAGCCGCGATCAAGGGAGATCCACTCGATTAGACCTGCTTTTCATCCCACATTGAGAATGCGACTTTGGCTGCTTGTCCAGCCTCTCCAGAATCATCACTCTGCTCTCCTGTCCAGTCGCCACACGGGCGGCTCACCTCAGAAAAAATCACTCGCACTACCGGAATCACCACTCTGCTCCTACAAATTTTTGATGTGGAAACTGGGTTTGCGAGAATTCTGGTGAACATCATGGTAAGCACCATTCGGTGAGAACCGAAGGTATTTGGCTCGATGGTCTCTGAGACAAGAACGGCATCTGACGGTACAAAGGACGCGGTGCTCGGGCTACCTGTTGAAGAGTGTTTTGCTAAACTGCACCCACTCCACCTGCCAGTTCTGCACCTGTGACAGTGCGGCGAATCCCAGTTTGGGTTTGAACTCCTGTCCGAAGACGGCAACATTCTTGTCTTTTGGTCAATGCTGCACTTTCGCTGCTGTCCTTCGGCACTTTTGCTGTCTTTGCCATGTGTCTGAAACACCTGTTGCCATCATGGGCAAGACTGCCAGAACTGCATGGAGACTGAAACATGCCGCTTCCCTACTTTACTACACATTCTTGTTTGCAAAAGCACCCAGGCTGACCTCACAGAACAACACACACACAGAGCAAGTGTAAGTTCATTCAACTAGTCAAACACGAATCCAACAAATCAAGAGTGAACAACACTGTCACTGTCATCAACGGGGCTGGTACTTTTCACATCTTCTGAATAATCGCAGCCGCATTGATCGGCACACCTCGAAGAGCTTGTCTGCTCTGATGCTTTTGTCCCTGGCAAGTCAGATCATTGCAACCAAAGAATGACCTCCTTAGCAATGTTGGTCATTCTTCATCATTTTTCTCTAGTGCAGGCGCTCTTACTCGTGACACACCTCTTGTGCCGCATCAAACCCACGAAACCTTGCCAAGGAATTTGTAGCACGGTCAATAGGGTTCATGTATCTGAAATTGGGACCCCGGTCCATATCGTAGAGTCATAATTTCCGCTCGTTCGTGTCTCACCAAAAGCATGAAGCCCTCCCAGTCCTGCCAATACAAAGGGTTTTCAGATTCTTCTGATGATGCATCATCACACCATCTCCGGCAGGGTGGCACTCCGTGCAAGGTATACACTTTGCTTGCTTGATGTTTGCCAACAAGCGCATTTCCTAAACATACACGTTATCACACATTCACATATTCAGACCTACACGCCTGGCATTGTTGCCAGCACATGTTCATGCAATGCGTTGCACTAAGCACTCTGGCTGTGGAATGGCTTCGAACGGACAAACAAGAAAGGATTCCTGTGCTGAATATGTGCAAAGTCTCTCACGCCGGGGTAAATCACACAATTTGGTGGTACATGTTGACAGGTCAAATCCTGGTCCTGCAGCCAAAAGTCTTTTCACTCTGTTTGTCGAAGCGCATGTGTCACGCGGCGTCGGCTGGCCGTGATGGGACAACTACAGTAAATAACAGGGATTAACCACTAGTTATGCAGCTATCTACAACCATCCCCAACCGGAGATTGGAAGAGCCTCAAGGACACATGACGCACAAAAATAGATGCTAGATGATGCTAGCATGCTTTGTGCCCGCAGGTCGGCTTATGCAGGACCAACATCGTCCTTGAGGCAATCTACTAAAGGATGGAGTTGGACTTGAATTCTTGTGTATGCTCAGTCCGCTCAGTCTTCGCAGGGCAAGCATGCCTGCCTAGAACCTTCTGTGTCGTTCTGGCAGGCAGCTTCCTCACCAGCTGCTTTCGTTGCTTGTGATGCTGTTGCTGTTGCTCTCACCTAGGCTCAGTGCGCTCACGCCAAGTAGATTGTGGAAAAATGGACCGAAGTGCCTAAAGTGTGCCTGCGCAAACTTGTGGCATAATCTCCCAGAACTGCCAACTCTAAAGACGAACACATCATTCCATCTGCTGCCACGTGCAGCTGCTAAGCCGGAATCCGATAGTGCTAAGCCTGCCACTTTCAGTGCTATCGGCATCTGAACTCAAGGATCGCAGGAGCTCCTCAAGTGCAAAGCCGAACATCGTCACGCTGTCGGCGCCCAGGTCGCAGTCTCAAGTACACTCAGGTGGTCACCTGTCGTCCTGTATCTGCATGTCCGCATGCCTTCAAGTTTTCGGCCATTGCGGTTTGCAAACCGCCAAATAAACAAAAGCAAAAGCACAGGTTCACCATGGTTCACCATGAACAAGCCAGAACCATTCAAATACCCTGGCATTTTCAGAGGCTTACTTCGCCTGGCTTCCTTCGGTCCCATGCCTGAGGCCCAAACACCAAATAAGGCGGCGGTGTGGTTTCTCAAAAATAGAACTGCTGCAAAGAATCTGCTAGTGCAGCCTAACGCCTAATGAGCCTAACATGGCCTAACACAGCCCGGCATCTGGGGCTTGAGCAATTTTTGCTGCAGTCGCTTTGGAGTACCTCAAGCCGGTGTTGGGGAGGTCTGAAGTTGCAAGGTATTCCTCTTCACCTACAGGGTTTCAGACTTGCACTCAACTGAGCATCCGACTGCAAGCTTTGTGGTCGAACCAATCATATTTGCAAAGATTCAGAATCTTAGCCACATAAATGATTGAGTTCGAAGAGAAGCACTCGATGTGCACAACAAATCTCGCGCAATCTGCCCAACACCCAGGGCTTCCACGTAGAAAAGAACATTGTCGTGCAACCAGTAGAACGGAGACCTTGCCAATGCAGCTGGAAGGATCCGGAGTTAGTGAAACCAACTTCTGTGTACATGAACTGGATTGCAATCACATCTTGGAGATGTAGGGTGTTTGGAGCGAAGGCATGGGCGGTTGGGATCTGAACCACGTGAAGAACAGCAGAAGGTAAGTCACCCCCCAGTGGCGTATTGTCATGTATTTTCGTGCTCTCTTCACTCCACGAACAAGTACAATTTGAGGCCCCAACTCTGGTTTCCGGGCACAAAGTAGAATCGTCCACACTGCCTGTGAGAAACAACACGGTTTCAGCATCTTTGAGCCTGCACACAATCAGTCTGCTGCCTGCTTGAAGCCGGGCCTCAGTCATTCGTGGCGATGATTGCGCTCTTGTGGGTTTCAAACTAACACAAAAATGAAGGAGAACAGCACACTGGATGCTTTGGTCGTTACAATGCACGCGAATCCAAAGTAAGGGGTTCATATTGTTTCATGATGTTTCATGTTTCTTAAGGGTGGTTTTCTTCATAATTAATCGGTTGTAGGAAGAGAAACCTCGTGACTTCCCTGCCTAAGGTCCCGGGCGGAAATCTTTGATGAATCTCTGCCACAGGGTTCCAGAGAACGTAGTTCACGCCGTAGCAAATACGGCCTGGCTTTTCAAAGCCGGCTCTTGGCCTACCTGAGTATGAGATCACCAGCAAAAGCTACGGCCTACGAACCGGAATTGTCTTTTTCCGCCCGTTTTGAGTCAGTCTTTTCTTGACTGTTTGGTGCAGGGCCTGGAAAACCGGTGGAGAAAAAACAAACAGTCCGCCTACGAACTCACGCCGCTCACGCCAGGGGAAGCCCCACCTTAGTCCCAGTGTTGGACAGCTGAGTAGTTCAATATCTTTCAACATGTCCTTATTGTCATTTAGATTCTAGCCTGGGAGGCAGCTCACACACACATGTGACAGTTGCCTTGAGAGGCCCTTGCAGTATGCAGACAAGTGGCATCCCGTGCCTTCCGAAGGGCCGATTGCTCAAGTGGGCCTGACCTGGGATTTGTCAACTCCTGTCTACCGTATTCCCGGAACTCTCTATTGCGTAATTGTCCGAGTGCCTTACCTGGAAGCACACGAAAAACAGCATCCTGCAATACTCAAATCGGTCTTCTAGCTGTTCAGTCAATGCCATTGCATAAGTATTCATTTGACCTTAGTCTCGAATCGCGAATCAAGGAAAATTCAACGAACCTAGCTCATGTCGTTCTTGCAGTCACTTTTGGACTAGGCAAGCAGCAAACAATTCCTTGCTAGTTTATTTCACCTAGCTTTCTGCCCAACTATACGCTGAAATCTTGTCTGCACACATGCTGGCCTTTGCAAACCCTATGCCTGCTTACAAGAGGATGCAAGCTCTCCCTACGGTACTCAAGCAAAGCCTTTTGGCAAACTGCCATCGAAGGTAGTGCTTGTTGGTGCGTCTGCAGTGAGACCGTTCGTGAGTCCATCTGCAGAATCTGCAGTCGCCAATCCCGTCCTCATGAGTCACAAATGCACGTTGATTGTCATACCTGAGAGCCGGAGCTGGGGAGCGGTTGATATGGGACACAAATCCACACCCCAAGTGTCTGACACCAATGCGTCATCGCCAGGAAGCTTTGAGTGGACCTGGCGGAAGCTGATGAACCATGTTGAACAAATGGGCCCAAGGATGCATCTTCCACTTTTCTGGGAGCTGGGCGTAGAGGCCGCAGCTCTGTCCTGGAATCCGGGCAAGCTGCGGTCACAGCGCCAGTGCGTGCAGTCTTTCGGCGTACATGTGTGCCATGCAACATCATGGATGGATGCATAGGTGGGAGTGAATGCTGGCCAAGCTAGGTACAGTAGGTATTTGCATGTGCCGAAAAGGCAAGCAGTACGTGTTGTCTTGCAGGAAAGAATCTCCTGGTAGCAGCCGGATGGGTGCTCGCAGCGTCAACGGTGTATATTTCTGCAGCCGAGGGAGGGATCAGGCTGAAAGAACATATTGCGTCATTTTGCGTGTCGAAATAATGCCAGCTTCAGTGTGAACTGCGGATGCTTCTGGCACAAAGTCCAAAGATCCTTAATAATGTACATATCCGTGTATATGAATAAGCCCCTCTCTGTGTATATAATATAACATAATATATATAAAATCATAAGCAGAACCAACATATATCAACACAAACAATTTTATACATGCCACACCAGCCTCATAGGATGGTGGGTGCTCTGCTTCATAGATGCAGTCCTTGGAGTTTCATCTTAAAAGTTCACATCTTGACAGCAGTGGTCAGGTTTCTCTGATGGCTGGACCCACTTCGCCGAATCGTGCTCCTTGGTAGGCGCAGCGAATCTCTACCACGCCAGCATTTTCCCGGAATCCACAAGAGGGGTTTGAACGCGCGAAGGACCGATGAATCTCTGGACTTCGGAAGTGGCTCCTTCTTTCGGAAGGTGCCAGCGGTGGTCCACACCTTGAAGAACCGACGAGTTGACGAGCCAAAGAATGGAAAGCATCCGGATTTCTGGACGTTTAAGGAATTCCAAGGACTTGGCTGTCAATGGGCCAAGGTCACCACGAACCTGCGACCCGTGACTTCATGTGACTTCGAGACGTTGCACTTTGGTATAGCTGCTCTTGAGCTGCTGGCTGCCAAAGATGTAATCACTAAAAACTCCACGGGCACCTCACAGCAAACGAGTCCGAGTTCAATCTTGTGAGCAAACATCTACATCTACATCCCTACGGGTCCCTACTTCTTGCAGAATCCGAGAGGCTTTTTCACATGATCACACACATAGACCGACAACAGCTTCGGAATGCATTTGCACATGCACACACTCACACACACACACCGGAGTTGCAGGAATTGCTAGCTCAACATAGCAGGTCTTGGCACACCAAACACCCATCAGCCAGAGTTTCATTCTCCATCCACGTCTAGGTTGGGACTGCACTTCAAAAGAATAATGGTCTTTTCACCCGCAGTTTTCGTGTTTAAACTCCAACACTTCTGGATATCACAGTCTTGGACAAACTGCCTGGCTTGTGAAACCAGCCGTTTGAAGCCACGTCCTGGGACTAAGTCCCACACACCACCCTCCTCTGGACCTTTGCATTGGACGTCAAACCTGGGATGGTTGCAAAACCAAACGTCACCCGTGGAAGTGGGGCCATTATGGGCCATAGATGGCCATACGGCCTTCTGTTAGCTTGTCTGGTCCATGAATGCTGATTGTCAATTTGAGTGATTCTTGGGAGCGCCCGGGCAGCTTTGGCGGCTCAACTGGATAGTTACTATTAGCTTCTAGCTACTAGTAGCGATGCCCTTGTTACTAGTAGCTTCTTGCTACTAGTCGTTGATCTTTCCAAAATTCTGAACTTTGAACTCAGCCCACTGCATCATGCCGCAGAAAGTATGGTCTTCATGATCTCGTGTGTCTGCAGTGAAGCTCTCGTGAGCTGTGTGATTGGCAACCTGCAGTGCCATTAGGAAGCAAACATGGGCGGAGCCAGAAACTCAGCTGAAATACTAGTGCAATTGGTTGTGCCTTAGGCCTGCGGAGGACTGCTGGTATGTACCTGACAGGATTGGCTGTGTATGTCTCGCAGTCTTGCCACAAAACGACAGGCTGGGAGTCAGGCTCTACATCTGAATCCTCCCACGACATGACCGGCTGGTGACCGTTCCTACTTGCGGCTGCAGGCTGCAGGCATGCAAAGAGTGGGCCACGATATGAGCTGTTCAAACCCATGGAGCCACGTTTTCACGCACACCATAACCTTACGTACAAAAGTGGGCGCAGCCTGTTGCGCCATTGCAGTCAAAAAGCTCTGCATCCCCACTCTTTCTCTCCCCCCTGCTCTCCCTCTCTCTCTTGCGTGTACGCGTGCGCGTGCGAGGAACCACTTTTCTCTGCTTTGTTCAGAGAGTCACTTCACCGAAACGGGTTTGCGCAGATCAGGGAATGCTCCCCGTACCTTCTACACAAATGGAAGGTGTGGCTTTGTGTCAACAGCCGGTGGGACTGTCTTTGCACCTTGGCTGTAGTGTCAGCTGCGCAAAACTGGCAGCGTTTCTTTGCAACTACGTTGGCAGCTCTCGTAGTTGGGAGCCAACAAGGCAGCATGAAACGGTCCATGAACCCGGCCCAAACAAGTTCAATGATGACACGATCTATGTTCTGTAACTTTAAACAATTCCATGGTTTCACTTGGTGCCTGGAAATAGGCTTGGACCTGGCTCAAGGTTGGCCTGACGATCATTAGTATTCTTATTGATTTTGAGTGCCATCTGGGTTTCCAGATGCCTCGGTTGCAGCTCCTTTCGCATAGCTGGCCAGGTTCGACCACCCTTGCAAAATCCGGAGCATCCTAGGGAAGAGTTGATTGAATTCAAGTGGAATGTTTGCTTGTCAACGGGTACGCATGTGCCGTAGATCATCACAGCAGCATTTCACCCCATTTTTCGCATGTGCGCATGTACCTCAATAGTGAAGGCTGGTGAAGCAAGCATGCGCCACATATGCATTTGTGAGCATAAATGATTGCACATAGTGCCCTGGCTCCAAGAGACGCTTCACCCACTTTGTTGATAGATCCATCATCGTTGAACAGCCGCAGATTGTAGGTGCCTGCACTAGCTTCATCGAAATTGTGGTGCCATGTCGGAATCTCTTGTCCCATCGGGCCACACAAATTCCCCGATAGGTCGTCGTAGACTTCGCGCAATCTTGCTTGCAAAGCATGACAATCGTAAGATATCCGGCACATATCTATATATATATATTTTGTCGTAAATATCGTTTGTGAACAGTGGCAACCAACCCAGGTTGACAAATACTTACCGCCCTTGGAACAAGGACGAGAATGGAGAAAAAACACACTGACACTAGCAAACCAATGTGGGTGCCAATTATACTCTAAAGTGTGTAAGTAAACTCTCAACTTGACAGCTGCCCGCACGCAAGCAAAAAGAGACAGCTGCGGCCTCCATCTCGATCGATATTGAACCATGAGAAGCCCTTCACTACGTGTCGCCCATCAGCAGTGGTGACACTTGCTGACAACCTATCGAAGCTTTTGGTGGCTTTGGCAGGCGCCAAAAAGCTCCATTGGGAGGACCCCCAATATTTAAACATATTTAAACTTCGCCTGACAAACCTTCCTGATTCCTGCCAGATCTGGGCACGTATATGTATATATATATATGCAAACATACCTGAGAAAGGAGAGGACGAAAGCCAGCGAGAGACCAATATGGTAGTGCAAGACTGGGAGGAAAAAATAGCGGAACACTTATTGTTGAATGCCTGTAGCTTTCGTGGAGCTTGCATCAACGTGGAGTAGATCAAGACCGGAGCACAGCATGAAGTGTTGAATGTTTTAGGCTTTCTCGATTTTCCTGGCGCGGTGCTCTCTGGAGCGTCCCTGTTTGGTGGTCTACTTGAGAATCCGTGTAAAGATAAAGGTCAGTGAAGACTAGGAGAAGGATGCCCGAAAGGTGGTTCTTGGTTGTTTTGAAATGTGTTTCGGGCATCGTGCATCAATGCGAAGCCCTATAAAGAGCAGGGCTGGGAGGAAAAAGAGGAGAGCACTCATTCTTGTCATTCTTGAATGGTTGTAGTTTTTGTGGAGCTGGTATCACTGCGACGTAGATGAAGATCGGAGCACAGCATGAAGTGTTGAATGTTTTTAGTATTCTTGATTTGCTTGGCGCGGCGCCTTCTGGAGCGTCCCTTGTTGGTGTTCTATCCGAGAATCCGTGCAAAAATAAACGTCAGTAAACACCAGGAGAATGATGCCCGAAATGGTTTTTGTGGTTGTGTTGAAATGTGTTTCGGGTATCGTGCATCAATGCGAAGCCCAAAAGAGCGCAGGGCTGGGAGGAAAAAAAGCAGAGCACCTATAGTTGAAAGCCTGTAGTTTCGTGGAGCTGGTATCACTGCGACTGAGATCAAGATCGGAGCACAGCATGAAGTTGAACGCTTGCAGCTTTCTTGCTTCTCCTCTTGCAGCGCTCTTATCCCCAAGCCTCTACCTCGCCCAACTGGACATGCTCACATCGTTCGCTCCCAGAGCGTTCACTCTTTGTTGCTTGGTCCTTCTTGGTATGATCAGAGCTACACAGTCCCTATGCCCTGCTCAGGATTAGAAAAATTGTCTCCAGACCCCTTCATGATGCTAATGATGCACTACTCGGCGTCCATTGCATCACTCGCATCACCAGACCACATTTTCACTGCTTTTCTGACCCTCGCTTTGGAGCGCTCTCCCCCAGCAAGCTCCTCAAATGGTGCCTTTTCGCGGCCTCCCCCCCACACCCCCTTAACTCACTTCGTTCGCTCTAAGAGCTCAAGCCTAGCCTATCGGCTGGCTTTCGTGATATATATATAAGTGAAGAAACACAGTTACACGTGCACACCTGTCTGTACACGATGCATGCGTCTGTAAAAACTTTCTGAAACATATCCGAAGAACTCCACCATGTTCGTGATGAAAGTGGCCAAGCCATCTGGCAATTCATCATTGGATGGGCAACCTCAAGTATGCCAATTTCAATGAAATGCACTATCAAGATCGCTAGTATAGATTGGAGGACATGGCTAGTAGGTCTCTCTTGTTTCTCTATTTTATGTTTTTTATTTTCTTTTCTCCTCGTCGCGAACATCCCGTCAAGTCAATGGTGCAAACATCGCCGCGGAACCATGGTCTGGTGCATCTTTGGCTGGGAACTTGCCCGAGTCGGGGATGCAAATGGGATCTTCTTCGGTAGGTGGGCAGTTCAGCATACCGACCTTCCCACTGAGAAAGTAGCCTGCCTCTTCTTCTCAAAAAGTAGTGCTGCACGTCGTTAGATTCATGAGCGAACTTACGAAGCAATGACAAGTCAAGTGCGTAAGCACAAAACGGATAGAACCGCGCCTCCCATTCAGTTATATAATATAATGTATATATAATTAACGTATCCGTATCTTTCAAAGTTTTGTCAAGCATAGTTCCTTGAGCACCTCTGATCCGAAAGTATCGAAAAGTAGCAGGTCAGCCAAAGTCGCATCATTGCGGGCCTCGTTGATAATAGCACCTTTCAGAAATGGATACTTCCTTGGTTGGAAGGTGTGTTGTTTTTGATTGTTTTTGGAGAACACGTTTAGGACCATATTGGTGTTGACCTGCTCAACCAAGAACTGCATTGTCCATTGTAACAACAACATGCACGAACCCAAAGAGTCTGGGACAAACACAAGCACTTCATTGAAGACCTTGCAACCCAACAACTAGTACCTTCCATTTCGGGCTAGGGTGCTCTCCAAAGTCTAGCAATTTGGGAAGAAGGCAGTTTCTACTTTCACATTCTCATCGTTTGATACCTGTTTAGCTGTCTCGGAACAAGCTGCTCCATCAAAGCTCCAATGTCTCTGACCCTGGCCTGGCTGAGCAAAGCCCTACGACCAACCTCCGCTAACATACCAAACTTCATCAAACTTCAACGAACACAAATCCTGGCAGCAAATAGCAGTCTCAAGTCAGCCATGTTCAGATTTCAGGGCTCTAGACTCTATATAGATCAGTTCCTCTTGCCACGCGAACCAGTAGCGTCCTCGAAGGCTTCATAGGCTTTGGTTTCCCGCGGGCGGCAATCGAAAGCGTAGAAGTGCAAACCCACCTCAAAGGGACACAGGCGCGAAATAGCGCGAGCCGTTTGAGCAACTCACCACGGGACGGGTTTCACTTGCGCACGCAAAAAGCACCTCATTTGCGCATGCAAGGTTGACAGTCGAACACGCCTACACCTATACAGTAATGAAGGGGGCCATGTCCAAAACCTCACTTGCGCACTTTGGCATGTTGCTGCATTGGAGTGGCACCTTGCTCATCTAAACTTTGCCCCCGGTGGCTCGAAAGCTGTGCTACTCTAAATTTTGCTCCCACGTGGCTCACATTTGGGACGGCACCTCCTCCTCTAAATATTGCCCTCGGGTGGCTCACAAAAGGTCTGCGCCGTTGGAATGGTACTGTACTTCCTCTTCTAAATTTTGCCATCCGGAGTGGCTCACAAAAGCGTTGGCTTCAGGGAGACATATTGTCATGCTGGCATTTAGTGTGTCCAGGCGCACACTCCTCAAGAGGCTTCTCAGCCTTCCAACTTGCACGTGTACAACCGAGGCGCTTTCCACGCGTACAAGATCGTACAAGCCAGGCGGTTTCCGCGTGCACAAGCGAGCGCCATGCCACTCACCACTTATTATATGCAACTCTTAAAACACAAAGGGGAGGACCATGCCAGCGATGCAACCCAGGAGCGTAAACTGGACAGCCACATGATGCATCGGTGCAGGCGCAGGACTCACCAGTGCAATCACACGCCATCTGAATAAATTTCTCGGCGTAGCTCACATGCACCTGACTCAAAGCAGTTGCGAGTTTACACCTGTGGGGAACTCGTAAAAAAACTCATGAAAAAGCTCATGTTCACCTGTGCGAGCAAGCAGCTGCCAACAGTGGTGTCGAGAAGTACTTGTACCCTTTCTTGTAGGCAATACGTGCCGTCTTCTTCCAATTCTTCATGACAGTGTCAACGCACTTCCTGACGCGACTGGTTACTTGTCCTGTGTGTTCCAGTCCACATATAGAAATGGTAGACCGACAATCTTTTCGCAATGGTGCTGACGACGATTCAGCTGGGGCTCCGTTCTTGAGACCAAAGCTCTGGCAAAGGCTGCTGGGCATCGCAGCCGGGCACAGGCCAAAACCCCACGCCGGTGGCAACAGACCTCGACCAACAATCGCCTCGGAATGTAAGTCAAAACACGCACTCAAACTCCACAAGTCGTCTATCATCCTGGTGTTGAACATCTTCGAAAATTTCTACTACAGCTGCGTCAAGGCTTTGATAGCAAACCTAATGACAGCTTAAACAAGAAGCAGGATTTGCACTTCACAGACTCTCAATTTATGCTTACTCCGGCTGCCCGTCGCATATTCTCAGAATCGGGTGACACATGCCCTGGTCGTTGGGCTTTGCTGGCGCCAAGCCCACGCGGCCATCCGCCACGGGACAATCGTTACGTTGCACAGCTTCCGCGGTGCAAGGCCTCTTGGGAAAAAGCAAGGCCCGTTGGGTGCAGAACTTGGGATCTCTCTTGATTGACATGGCGTATTGGATATGAATGGACCCAATGGACGTAACAACGTATAGCCGCAAAGCACAGCGTGCATCTCAAACAATGCTGCACGAATCAGCCAAAACACATTCCAAGCCCACCTGACACAGGTACGGAACATATTCCCCATGCAGCTCCCCTGGATATCTGGCTCGTTCATGCCGAGGAAAAGGTTTGACATTTCAGCTGGGCATCTATTTCCTTGCGAATCCTCAGATGGGCACGTGGGCCTGTGCAAACGGCAAACATTCATACAAAGCAAGCAAGGTGTCTGTCAACTTTGCAGCTGAAGCCAAAAACTCTTCAAAATTGAAAGGGAGAATCGAGGAAGTTTGTCTCTCCAGCTTCTCGCACCCACTTCTTCTCCACCACGTTAGAGCCCCAGATTTCAGGCACGAAGAGGAAGTCTTTACTGAGGTACTCAAAACCTTTGTCTGTTGCCTGTGGCGCCAAGTTCCAATTCCAAAAGGTCACCTTTCCGAAGGAGCTGCTCTTCTTCAAGGCATCAATGAAGCGCTGGGTCTCGGCCGTCGTTTCTCCATCCTTAGAGATTCCTGGCAAGGCACCAAGGAGGCCACAACCCCACAATGGATCTGTTTCAGCCTCAAGTTGCTCAGGACGCAGGTGCCTTCGGACAAAAAAACAACCTCAAAACAGGCGATAGGAATTACTGTATGGGAACTGTGAAGGGCCACACAGGGACATAAGGGAAAACCAAAATCTGTTTGAGCAAGTCTTAGCCAACGTTGACCTTGGACTTCAACACCCTCGAAGTAGAACTGACTGATGTCCTTGGTTCACAGCCTTGTTAAAGAGCTGGCTGAAAGGATGCCAGCTCGAAGACTCCAACAACTTTCGGACTCCCCAGTGCCACGGTTTATATAACAGCCTTCGATTGTGAACGGTTTATGTCAATTGGTTCGCTATCGTGAACGGAGAAATCCAGTTGGCTGAGGCAGTGGCGTTGGAGGATTGAAGTAGGCCTGAGCGGCATAGCTTCTAGCACTGCACAAACCGAGGAACATGAGCATGGGTGCCTCCACCTTTACCTTTATGTCAGTACAATATGCGATAAATAAATTTTGAAGGCCAATTCTTCCACGGCAAGAATGCAACCTGATTGCAAAGCATCTTAGCGTGGTTGAAACAAGACAAGCTGCCAACCCTTCCACACCGGCAAACCCGACGGCTGCCAGGATGGAAATGTATGTGGCCACGCGAAGACATGCCAACCATCCTGGAACTGAAGCAACAGTAATGAAGGAATTATGACCAAACATCCAAGCATCCTCGCAACAGGATCCAGTTTTTAACAAGATTTTCTCTGGGGAGAACTTCAAACAATCACAAGCACTAACACATACAAAGTGCCCCAAATCTTCTGAGTCATTGTTCCGTTATGCCACATGTAAGCGTACCGGGTTCAGTTTGGTGAGTGGTGTTGGTGTGGCTGAATTGTATGGCATGGTTCCAAGCATGGTCGGACGCCTGCACATACAATACATCAAGAAAACTTGTGCATCCGCCCGAATCCCCTGTTGGTTGTGATAAGCAACTCTTGATACACTTATCTTACTTGGAATGTAGGTCACATAGATCGTATGTGGTCAGCATAAATAGGCCTCAAAGAATCATCAACCAATGCAGCATGATGAGTGCTTTTGAGTTTGGCTTGCTTGAGTGCACTTAGTTCAAGCCAGGGGTGAAAGAACTGAAAGCATCCTCACAGAACCCAACCTCAAACAAGTGTGCATTGTCAGCACGGGAGTTTGATGGAAGTTCTAGATCAGGTGCACACTAGCTATCCACATTCACATGAACACCAATCCAAGAACAAACACTGTTTGAACCATCCCATGTTTCGCAAAGATCCGAGCAGAAGAAGCGGTGCAAGTTACTACTGATCACCTCCCCTCCGCCGACGTGACGGCTTTCACGAAATCAGGGACTCAGTGCAGCTGGGGTACGCACATTCTGCCATCTACTACTTTTGCCGCTCTCCAATTCCACGGAGGGGCATTCAGGATCAGAGCTTCCTCGGATGCGCTTGGATGCTGGGGAACCTGACGTCTGTTGACTATGACACAATGCAACGGGAATGAAAGCGGATCAAATGCTGGCGACCCCATGCGACCCCGGAGAATTTGAACTCCTTGTGTTGTGGCGGCAAGACTTCTCTAACAGTGATGCACGGGATGCCAATAGGGCGGTGAATCATAAACAGCTTCAAAACTCACGCAGCTGCCTCCCACCCATGTCAGAGCACACACATGTGGCAAGCAAAACAAATATATAAATTAAGGTAAAGCTCTTGCTGCCATATCCTGAGTGAAGAAAGGTATTGGGCAGTGTGCTTGAGCATCCGGCAGCAGCGGAAGTCAGAAACAGTACACGTCTTGAAACGACGAGCGGAACATTCTCTAGATTGCAAAGTTTTCTTCCTTCCAATCCGATGATTGCCGTGAATAGCCTTTGCTCAGGTGAGGCGAGCAGTGGGTCTGAAAAGCCAGTTTTGGCTGCCTATGAAATGAGTCTCTATATGTGCACTCTTGGCCGGCGTAGAACTTCAAGAAACATATTTGCCAATTTTACTGGCGTCTATGTGCGAAGGTGACACGAATAGAGGCAAAATGAGTTGACGGTGGCAACTGTAGAGCCAATCCTGTCTGCCTTCATGCAGAAAGGAGTGGAAACTTCGTGCCTTCATGCAGAAAGCCCTGCAGTCATCGAACAGGCCGCGGTGCCCAAGTGATACCATGCGTTCTCAGCCTTGCAGCTTGGCTTCCTATAGTAGCATCCTTGCTCCTAGTAGCGATGCCCTTTGCTCCTAGTAGCTTCTTGTTCCTAGTAGTAAGGCCAGGAGCCCCTAGTAGCGTCCTTGCTCCTAGTATTGTGGACGAATATCGAACACATAAACTTTGGATCAGCCTGCTGACAGCTAGGAAAACTGAGGCCACATCTGCAGCGCTACGTCGTTGCCTTCCGTAACAACCTGGCTCTAATCTTGAGTGAATCTCTCAGCTCTCCAAGCATGCGGGCTTATACTTTCAGAGCACAAATGGCTTCAATACGACTTCAGTACTACTAATAATGAGGGCCAACAGCACTAAAAGCCCTAAGGCTTTAAGGAGTTGAGTCCCCATCTCCAGAAACATTGTCCCGGCATCGTGGCAGAACTGCGTCCAAGCAATTTATCCATCACATGCCCTTGAAAGAATGCCTCATAGCCATCATTGGCCGCTTGGCTGACCTGCCAATATGCAAGCACATCATCTCCTGTACAATAATTCCTCCAGAATTACCAATAATCAGCGTTGAAAGGTGTTGATCAATGAACGTAACTAAAAGCTAAAACATGTCCTTTCTGCGGAATCAAACTCAGCTTGATACAAGGGCAGGGTGGATTCGTAGTCGATCGCTTCCATAGCGAAGTGCCTGTAGCTGCTGTCTGCAAACGCGTGGCCGACTGAACCGTGCACACTCAAAGAAACCAAAACTACTTTGTGGATGGACACATTTTGGTCTAAACATTTGCGCGCCAACCATCTTCCCCCGAGCCTCACCCTTTTGTGTCACAGCAGCACTCATGACGTCAAGGTCGTCATGGAGCTCCTTCAAAAGAGCAAGTTGTAAGATCTTCGAGTCTGTCTTTGCATATTGAACAGCCAGGTGATGTCCAATAATCCAATGATCCTCCTTTTGCAAGCTAAGAGCAGCAATTACTTTTGCTCACTGTGACTCCTTTCACATTGCCCAGAATCTCCTCATCTATGAATTGTATCACTTGCCAACTCTGCTCGATGGCGAACAGCGCTGCCAGCAGTGCACAGTGGAGTGCCAGGGTCCGAAGTGTCCAAACATGTCCAAACACTTGCAAGATAACTCGTAGTAAATCACTTGCAAGTTTTTTTTTTTTAAAATTACTAGTAATGCACTTGCTACTAGTAGCGATCACGGGACCATTAAAAATGATAACTTAAGTGGCCGTATTGTGTTCCACTGTAGCCTTTCCGTTCCATAACTGAGTCCAAGTTCGCTGAGGCATCATGGTCGGCCTAAGTCTTTGTTCCTTTTCAACTCCCCCGAAGCATACTTGTAGGCCCTCCAGTCGTTGGCGATCGCCTGCACCAAGCCATCTCTATGCCGTGCATTCGCACCTGCATCCCACCCACTGGGCCATACTGGGCCCACGGCCTCCTTGACGACGTCGAAGTCTTCTCTGAAGGACTGAAAGAAAGCATGCCGAAGAGCACAGCCGTCCTGCACAGGTGATCAGCAGAAAATCACCATCATTGCACAGGGTGATGTTCATCATTGGAACATCTCCTGGCGGACAGCTTCCAACACCACCTGCAAACGAAGTTCGGCTGCAAAGTCTTCAGGGAACCGATCGAATCACTTAGAACCGATCCGCACTCCTCGCGGTCGCATCGTAGAGCTTCACATGCAAACTGTAGTGCCAAGCCAGAACTCTTCAAGACCTGCTGGTATCAAGGCAATTGAAGTATGGTTCCCAAATCCCGAGGTGGATCAGGATCTGTGCTGCATCAGCTTCTTCGTTTTTTGTCCACGGAAAAAGCAACCAAACACATGAAACACGCAAAGCAGCTAACTGTTATATAATCAGTACTGTAGAACTTAGGGCACTGCAACCCCCAAAAGCCAGCAAAAGCCAGTTGCCTCCAAAACAAACTCCTTGTCTTGTCGGAGGTTCTGATATGTAAACTGGAAGGCCTGAGTAAGTTTCAGTTTGAAGCGTGTTGGAATTGCCCACCTTGACCTCAACTATTTGGACTACAAATTGCCGCACACATGGCCGTATCATATCACAAGAATCGTGACTATACCCTGCACAACTCATGTAGTTCTATGATGTTATATGATTGTTTCATACTGTCCAGGCATCGCTTGCGACACGAAATTCGGCTTCATGTGACTTCATGCTTCTTTCTCAAGTGAACGTCCCGTTTTGAGCTCCCTACCCGCCAGTCTTGCCTCACCGCCTTTTGGCCACATCCAAACGGCATGCAAGTTCACCAGTCATCTACAACACAGTTCACCGGGAAGCTTGTAGCCACAATTCTGTAAAAGAGGTCTCCTATGCTTGGCATGCACAACTGAGACAATTCCCACACTAAAGACCTTATAAGATCAAATCACATAAGGCTACCTTGACCCCACTGAGGCAATCCAGCAATTACCCTGCTTCAACCTACACAACATGCATGCCATCCATGTGCCGTCCATTCTTTGGGCACCCCCACGGCCAGACCAAGACGGGGATCGGCCCGAACAGCCGGTGGCCTTGGCGACATTGAGATTGCAGCTCTGTGGTGGAAAACGAATCTCACTGTAAGGCCAGGAGCCCCGTTTGTAGCATCCTTGCTCCGTTCGTAGCGATGCCAGGAGCCCCTAGCGAACATTGTTCCTAGTAGTAAGGTCAGGAGCCCCTAGTAGCTTCAAACTCCTGATTTCGATATTACTTTACTTCGAGCCATCTCCACGACCAGTCGAGTCGAGCCCTGGCAGGACAACCTCTTTGTCCGTAGAACCTATGCTTCAGAGTGGCTTCGACTCAAGACTTATGTGACAAATGCTGCCCTGCTTGCAGAACCTGCTTCTCTAGATGGCCTGCATCTTGGACTTGGCCCACCGTGGCAAAACATATGCTTCTGAGTGGCTTGGAAGCTAGACTTGTGAAACGCTGGCTTTCTTTCGCACAGGTGCCGTGTTCCGCGTCGACTTGGGCTTCTTGATGCTTCTTGTGCCGCATCGGATTTCTTGCGGGTTGGACCTGCATAGAACCAGCGTTTCCAACCCGCCACAGATTGGCCTCCTGTCACCGCAGCTTGTGGACCTGCTGAGTCGGTCCGGCAGGACCACCGGGTTAGAGCACCGATGAAGAGCACCGGTGGACCGTTCCGCTGCGGTCAAAACCGTGTTCTAGGGCTTGTTGGGAATCAAATGATGCCTCTGCCTGTTGATGTTGCTGCAGGTGCTCGCCTCTTTTGAAGTTGGTGTATGTTCTGACCAGGGTGCAAAAGTCTGAAGATAAGCATGTCGCTTGCAAGGGTCCCCGGCGCTTTCGACAAAGCTTGCCAGTCCCGCGACACTGCCTGCAGAAAGCTATATGGCCCCCTCTCAGTCCTTTTCACTGCTGTTTGCCCCCCCGGCCTGGCTCCATGATTTCCGCTCCGCCGGCCTCAGGGTGTATTTTTTTTCGAACGTTCTGTTTTGGGTTTTATAAGTAAGGACTCAAAGGAGTCAAGGGACCAGGATTCTTGCCATCTGAAAGACATACCGTTCTTTTCGGGGGTGAGGCTCTTTATAGAAGTCAGTGCATAGGAGCCGAGCTATATCAACCTGTGACCTGCCGCTAGTTTCTGAGTTTGCTATTGGCTTCTTGCAGTCCAAAGCTTGTGCGAACTGCATAGGCATAGGCTTTAAGAACAAAGAGATCAAAAGACATTACTTTGACTTTGGCATGAAGGACACTTGATCCAAGCTAGAGTGAGGTTCAACATGACACTCCGGCAGAAATGCAACTGTTGGACGATCAAGAAAACAAGGCTACAACGCATTGCGAAACTTTCAACTTGACTTAGTGTCATTTTGCACCAAGTCAATCCACACGTTCTTAGCATCTCTGGGGCCAGGGGCGTTAGGTTGGGCAATTTCATAGTCATGAGCGGTCCATGAGAGACGTTGGATGCTTGAGGCTGTGGACACATGCGGAAACCAATAAGCGAATGGAAACCAATTGGGGTCAACGGGATGAATCAATTAACTCAATGCGACAGCTTCTGTGCTTGTGGTCCAACTAAATCTTGTCATTTTTATTTCAGGGCATGTGAGAGAATAAAAGGTGGATGGCTAGTAACATGTCGTGCCTGTCACGCCTCCTTGAAGTCTCGCGGCTCTTGCAGGGTACTCGAGGTACACATGTAACATATACATATATATATATATGAATGATTAGAACAATTCTATGCGCTGCGCAGGAAAAACAGTCACATGACAGTGAACAGCGCTCTTTTTCATCCACAGCCTTTTGACATCTTTTGACTGCATCATACGCCACCAAAAGGGTAAGCAAGCACCCATTGTGCAAGTATTGTGCATTGGCAGTGGCCAACTACGAGAAAGAACTCCAGGGTCATCTGCTTCGCAGTCCAGGAAAAGGGGAGTCCAAACTACATTCTGTACACAGGCTTTTCCACAGTGTGCTCCTGTCATCAGGCTCGCTCCGGCCGTATGCGATAGCCGCTAGCCTACCCTCTTGCATGCAAGCACCCTTATTGCCAGTAATTGAACATCTGTATTGTCTTGAGATTCTGGAGGCACTATGGTTTGGGGCGTGTTGTACGGTGGCACAATTTCCGCAATGAACTTTCCCCATGCTCCCAAGCGCCTCCTTCCGACCATTCGGCCATCTTGTAATGGTTCGAATGCCTCAATCTTCTTTATCTAACGTGACTCCCAGCTTTGGCTGGTTACCTTTACCCCTCACTTGGATTTGATTCTTCATCTGCCATGTGAGTGCGAGCACGATGACCACAAAACAAGGCAAACAAGGGTGCGGAGTGGGGCGGAACACTTGCATCCCACACATGACATACATATGTATATGTGTACATAGAGTCTTTTGGCATAATTATATATGTACTTTGATCCTTCCAGCACCCAACTTGTTCAGGATCGTTCTTCCGAGATTCGCAGTCGCCGCAGCCCATCATCCCCCACGAGAGTCTCTCTCTGAACTTCAAGGCGTGGCCAGTCGTCAATCTTGGTTGCAAACCTTTGTGCCTTGGGGTAAAACCACAACCCCCAACCAAAGACCAAGGCAGCATCAACAAGAGGGCCTTCAGTGCCTACGGCTCCTTCTCACTTTCTTTCACGTCTGGGGTCAGCACGTGACCGTCTTGACCTGGCAGCTGGGAGGCAGCTTGAGCGGCACGGAGTAGCCGCGCGTAAATTCCTTCTTTGACCGCTGCTGCATGAACTCCTTGCGGGCAGGCGGGGCTTCAGCTCCGGGGTGCTGAAGCGCCCGAAGTGATGCGTTGTGATTCGATTCTGTCCTGGCTTGATATTGAATCGTGCCAGCTCCTCATCCAGCATCTGATCCACTCCCCGGCCACTAAAGGCTGCTTGAAACAGCTGCTCAGCTTGTTCATCGCTTACCGTGCTGAAGGGAGGCCTCCCATTCAGACCCGTAGAGGCACCAGGCGCAAATGAGCGTGAGTTGTTTGCAGCTTTTCCTGCACCCACAGGATTGACATGCAGCAAGTAACTAACAGTTACTAACATACAGAGGGATAGAGAGAGAGAAAGAGATATATATATATATACATATATACACATCTCTGGCGATAGCAGGCAGGCCTGTCTGCTGTGCTCGTTGTCGAGACCGCAATCGCTGGTACGCCTCTGATACGCGGCGGAAGGCTTCCTCCGCAACGCCAGCCTGAAGCAAAGCACAACCAGTCCTACGGTCATCGACACTGTCAACTTCTTGCAGGATTTGCAGAACCATATACATTGATGCCCGGTCCAGCCTGGCTGGTGCTAGCCGAATCTGGGTGCGTTTGGATTGCCGCTTTCAAGTAGGCTGCTCTCACCTCTTCTGCCGAAGCACCTTGGTGAAAACCCGAACAGGACTGACTGGCTTCATCTTGCTTCTCTCGTTTCACTTGCTTCATTGCTAGACATGGTAAGCACCTGGATGAAGGCCCAGGATCTTGTACGGATCCTCCACCCCAGCATATGTCCTGGCCAACTGATTCCAAGGTCTTAGGCCCTAGGCATGTCAATCGATTGGAGAGGCAGCATGGCCCAATCTTTGCTTGCAAAAAGCATCCTCAAGAGTCGAAGCTTCGTGACCTCAGCTCGAAAACAACACCAAAAGAACAGCACACTACTATGCCCAAGGAGGGGGCATGAAGCTTGATGAAGGAACACCAAAAGGACCGGATCATGGGGCATATGCATTTGGACGGCAGTATGACAGCGAATCCGCCTAGTAGATGGAAAGTGTACGCAACTGCATGTTGCTGTCAGTCAGGCATGCTGCTTGTGAACCCACTCATTAGTGGGAAAGCCAAAAGCATCCGCACAAACCTGCCTAGTCTCAAAGTTACAACAAAAAAACAGTGTGTTCTCCAATTTCATTAGCCTGGCTGGTTTGCACAGGGGCAACAAAAGGCTTGGCAAACGAGTCAAAATAGTCAAACAATTATGGCAGATTGTGTTTGCCCTTGATCCTTTTTCTCAAGACATATCTTATAAAATATTCTTCGTGTTGGACACTTTTGGTCTGAAGCTGCCTGTCTAGCATCACGAGCCAAATGCTGCAGCACGATTGGACAAAATGGTTGCAAGTTGATCAGCTGAAGAACCTGTATGGCAAATCCATCTCAAACTTGGCTAAAGCCAAGCCAATACTGTAAATAGAAAGCCCTGTGACTACAATAAAGTGACAATCCTAGCACATGTGACACCAGAACCGTAAGCCCCCTACATTTTAAACTGGCCCGTAGTGGTTACAGCAATCACGGCGGTCGAGTGCGTAGTAGCCGAAGCATGGCACATATTGAGAAGTGCGATACTTGCGTCTCAAATGATGTCTTTTGTCCGGCATACTTGCCATGGCATCCAAAACCCGGCACACTTTGCCCGGACACTGGGAGCATGTCTTTGACATGGGCTCCTGCCAAAACGAGTGCAGGCGTTGAGTCTTTGAACTCTTCATCTAACATCCTCGATCTAATGGCCTGAGATGGAGGCTGCCAGATCATCTGCCATGTATTCCTTGGAGTCCTCGTTCTCAGAATGAAGGAACCTAGGAGCACACCAGCACATGAAGAAAACTGTCTGGCATGCACCTTCATGTCGCCGTCAAAGCAACATCCACCCTGCTGGTCTGCTGTTGTCGTTTCTGATTCCAGCCGTGCTCAAAAGGCCAGAAGGAAACCACAGCCCACAGCGTCTTGAAACTTAAGGACAGCACAGACAACGTCCTTAGGTAGGTGCGCCAGCAAGGGGCTGTCTCTGACCCATGCCATTGAATTGACAGCCCAGCACAGCTCCAAAGATCGTAAATATGGACAAGTCATACCAAGCAAAACAGCCTGTGTGCCGCTCTAGGGGAAGAACCGATCATACGCTCTCCTGCCAAGTTTGCACGAAGGACATTGTAAGACATTGCACATTGCAAATCAAGTGGGCATCATTTAATGTGCCAGGCAAGCAGTCTGGTGGCAGTTTCTGGGAGGTCGTAGAAGGCCTTCAAGTCCTGAAGGGCACACAAAACAACGACCCTCCTCAGGAAAACCGTCTCCAACACGAAAAAGGAGCTTCCTCTTTCTCTTTTGTTTGCGGTCCTTCAGGCTACCGACGTGGCGAGTAGATGTTGACAGCCTTGGCAATGGCGACGACGCCATGGTGACGACGCCGATGTGAAAAACGGCCCCAGGACCCGAACGCCAGCGGTCCCATCGGGGCACCGATGGTTGTACGGTATGTGCTCCTGCACGGCGTTGAACGACTGGCCGAAACACGAAGACGCTGCAGAATGTAGGCTGCACATGGCTGCGCCTCATGCCACTGCACATGCCAGACCTCAAGACATTCACAGCCTAAACGAATCCACCAAAGTTGTCAGACTGAAGGTCTACAAATGCGACGACAAACAGCTGGCAGCCGCGCTTTGTGCCATTCTACTCTGCATTCAACTGAGGTCATTTCCCAGCCCAGGAATTCGTACCAAGTGCTGATGATGCCTGATGCGCTGACATTTCAGACCTAGAAGACATCACTTCACCCATCCTTACAATGTTACAAAAAAGCTCCCTTCGCATTGTTTGAATCCACCTTCGGCATTATTTGAATATACTCTCGAAATCTGCTTGCTTCGTGGCTGCAGATCTGGAGTTGTTGTTGATGGCATTCCGACCTGGGAGATGCCACTCAGTACTAAAGGGGCAGCGCCGAGCGAGCAATACTTGGCCTCCAATCGGATAGTACCTTTGCACCACTATCGGCGCGGCATGAAGGACACTGTGACATCATCTTCAACGGGCTGTGGCTCTTCGACAAATCTTGGGCTCAGACTCTCCTCTCCACATTTTGTCATTGATTGGAGGTGGCTGAGGAAGTGGCCTGAGTTTACAGCTCCAATGGAGAGGCCGCTGCAACAAAGGTGCGGGAATCAACACTAAAACCAAAACAAACAAAGATTGTGCACAATGCAACATCATGAGAAACCGCTGCTTCAGTTTGCGTCGCACTGGCATGCAAATAGTTTCATTTTGCTTTCTGCCGATGCTACTGTACAGTAGAGGTAGGGTGGCGCATAACATTGCAACAGCATAGTGGACATAGCCCATTGGCAGCATCTCTCTTATGTCTGATGGCTAAATGGTAGAAACAACACGTGCTTCGTCATAACTCATACTCGGTCCCATGTAGTTTGTCAGGCGCGTAACCATTTGTATCAAAACCATGTGGTGTGCACGGCAAGCTCTCGGCTTTGCGAGGAAGGCTCTCTGCACCAGCCGAATGTGGAGATTGATTATTTGGAGTGGCTTAGCAGCAATCTACATGAAGTCTTCTTCGATCTGCCTGCACTCCTCAATGGATCCAGTCTTTGACACACCTCAACTCTTTGGCACAACATCCAGAAGCAGCATCCAAAACTTTTCCGCGGCACCATTGCAGTCAATATTCAAACATAACCTAAGTCACTAAGTCTAAGTTGTAGGCCCGCGTTCGTGGTCTTTTCAAGGTGCTGGAGTGCAGCGTACGACTGCAACTCCTGTTCGAGCAGCAATGCGACTGAGCGAGAGCTTGCTGCGAATCGTTACAGTGTTTTGAACAATGACAAGTTTCCTGTCAGTGCTGCTTCTCAAAATCATACGGCACTCGGACCGCTTTCCACACTTCGCCATGATCACACGTTGGTCCTTCTCTTCAGCATGGCGTTTGGCCTCTTCTTTTTCTGCCTTCTTTCGTTCCTGCACAGTGTCCGAGCTTCGACAGGCGACCTGACCAGGCTTCGACAGCCCACCTGGCCTCAATGATCTTTCTTCTCCTCGCCCGCTCTTCGTTATCTCGTTGCTCCTTTTCCTATGGCTCTGACAACGCAGTCGAAGAGAGCGCGTGACCCGGTATGTCTTTGCAACTGATGGTGAGAAAGGCCGCAGTTTGCACTAAAACATGCAGTGCCGCTGCCTTAGCCAGGTCAACCTGCTTCTCAACCCGTGTCTTCTCCAGCTTCTTGACCACATCTTTGTCCTCCAATGACGGGCAACTTCATGATCCTTTCATTCAACACTTGCTTCATTCAGCTGTCTTGTGTACTCGGTACTCATAGGCTTGTTGCTTTTGCTGGTCCTTGGCCACGTTCCTCATCAAGGTTCGGAATGACTCCTCCTTGAAGCCCACCTCAACTTGATCAATGGACAACTTGTCTCAAATGTGATTCTTTGCAACCCAGCCTGGCCAACTTCCATATGATCTTCTTTCTTCAGGTTCAGAAAAGGTGTGTAAACGATGTCGCACTGCGCCGCCTTGCCGAAACAAGCCCGCCCAAAAAAGACATCAGGAGCAACGCTTGAAGGCAAACAAAATGGGAAACCCGTGAGCCCGTCACAGGAACATCAACCACACACGTGTCAAATGCCTTAACTCATCCCGTGAGAAGCCTCATCTCAGTCCCGCTCTACAGCTAGCCTTCTTGCCTGATCTGTTTTGATGCATTTCAGTCGGCTAGCTATGGCTAGCTCGTCCACATGGATCGAGCACACTGTCAATGCCTCCACGTGTTGTTCACCGAACTGTTCGCCTTGCACCCTTCGATGGAGTTCTCCTTTGTGAGTTGTGCCATTTCCGCTAGGATCTCTTCCGGGACTGAGGCGATCGCATCCAACAGCCTGGTGCTCCAAGCGGTTTTCGAGGGCTGATGCAATCAGTAGTAGAGCTGAGATTGAGATGAAAGACCAGCTAGGCAGTGGAAAAACCTTGCACTTGAGAGCATTGGGTAGGAAGTTGGATGGGTGAATGGTGTCCAACTGATTGACCCCAATAAAGATCAATATGGCGCACAAACGACAAGACATCCAGTGCCTTTGCTTCGCCTCTGCCTTAACAGGTTTGTGACATTCAGGATTTACTTTGAGACGCATGCTAGCATATGCAAGCGTTGCTCAATAAGGTGAGCAGGTTTTGACCTGCCTTGTCTTTGACTCCAGCCAAGTCCACACTTCCAGGTGGCAGTCGAAGATACACGTGAGCTGAAGAGAGCTTGTCCACATGAAACCAAATGTCCTGGCGAATCTCAGCCCACAGGGCCCACAGGGCCCTTCAATCGACATGTGTGGGTGAACCCCCATGTGGACAGGTTGCAGGCTCCTCGGGAAATCCATACTTCAGCAACTCTTCGTTCTCGTACTTGTCTTTCCCCATGTACACGACCTCAGTGCTTGCCCTCCAGTCTCTGGTGACCTCTGACGATTGTACAGGAGTGCTTGGCTCGCCACATATCGAGGATCCGAGCAGGTGAAAAAGAAGACCTGGAAAGGATCTGCGACTCAAGGAGACAGCAACTGGTTCGATTGGTGTGGCTAAGGACGCCATGAAAGAAAGACTTTTTAATCATAAATCAACCAGTTGAACAAGCATCATTTCCTCTAGTCTTCAGCTAGAAGATGCAAGAAGTAACGTCCGGCTCGGCCATGCGGCCATCTTCTCGCCCGTGAGCTCGCTGCCCACGAGCTACGGCATCGAGACGTGCAAACGAACTTCTCGGTGCTTGAGCCAGCGGAGAAGAAAACACATCGCAGGTCGTCTGCGCGCAAAAATAATCAACGTGGTTTCACTATGTTTCACTTGTCACCCAACAATCCCAGGTTCAAGTTGATGTAGCCAGGTGATATCGGGTCACATGAACTCTCGGTGAGCTATTCAGATCTGACTGAAACATATTGAAACGTGAACGCACAAAACAAATAAATCGGGCCCATCAAGAAAGTGTCAAGCATATCAAAGCCAAACCAGTTCTGTCGTTCTGGCGGAAGCTCACCAATTTGGACTGCACGCTCCTGGCAGGGACGTCGTGCATCTTGTAGTAGCTTGTTTCAACCAAACCTGTGCAACAGAATGGTGGCCAAATAGGTCATTAACCATTAAACCAAGGAAAGTGGAAGGCAATGGACAGTCCTTGTTGCAGCCAATGGCCTTGGATGTCCAAGTCATATGACCGACACCAACTCGAATCCCAAACACCAGTGGTCATATCACTGGCCAGGGTCTTGATGCAATGAGCATCTTTGCAAGCAAGGGCCCCCTTGAAGAGGCCCAAAATAACCTAGTAGCGTCCTTGCTCCTAGTAGCGATGCGCCAAATTCATGACTATCCTATCCCACGTTTTCAACCACGCCTGTGTACACAGGTGCCGGGTGGTAACAAGGCAAAGAGTCTACCACCACCGACGAAGAAACTCTCAAAGAATTGAACATACTGGTTGTTCTCGACCCGAATCTGCCTTTTTTTGTTCTCAAGGTCTTCTTTGTCAAGGCCCTTTTGTGAGGTATCAAGCCGTGTCGGCACTAGTTGGGCCACGTTCGCTTTCCGCTTCACTGCGACCATAGCTGCAACTAATTCTGAAGTGCTAACGCATTCCGCTGCAAATATGGTTCTTTTCGAGCTTCTATCTGAAGGATCTGAAGTGTGTGTGTGTGTCCACACCTGTGCCTAAGGTTTGAGTCGTACAGGTGCTACTAGGACCCCCGGTTCTGCTACTAAGGGCTTCCGGTGCCGCTACTAACTTGCAATTTCTTCACGCGAAGCAAAAAGAGGCAGGGGGACCGCCTGGCTTGTAACAGTGGCAGTCCAACGAAGAGGCTGTTACAAGTCACTGATATGGATTCTGGACGCAGAATCCACGTACCTGCAGATCAAGTTTTTAACACCTCGTTTCACCCTTGTTAAACATTTCTGGTACTCTGACCCAGCACTCGTTCAGTTCATGCAAGTCAAGGTCTACAATGCAGCTGGTAGTGTAATCGTCTAGAGTGGAACTTCGTACTGATACTAGCTCTTGCGAGCAACTCTCTAAGTGTGTTTCGCCACAGGGTCCCACTGTGGGCTGTGGTGTGATCCCCGTCAAGGGGCACGTTCAGACCCACATTGCGTGGGGGATCCCTCCCTGATCTCTCGGCTTGCACTCGGGTACTTCACCTGATTACCACTGAATCTCGGTATTGCATGCTACCCTTGATTTCATTCCGCAGGGCTTACTGTGATCAAAGAACTGAAGATGCGTTTTTGCAATTTCACACTGCTAAGTAATCAATTGTACAGTCACATCAGGCACGATTCAGGCACGACAGTGCGTTCAGGTTCGGTCAGTCACTTTCTGTACGGCACGAGAACTTGCACGTGCCTTTGTTACATGTTTTTCATGCTCTTCTGTTCTTTCTCTCCTTTTGTTGCTTTTCGTTTCTTGAGGCCTTTCTTTAGGTTCCAGGTGTCTTTCAGAGAAGGTTGCGCCGGCCCAAATCGGCCATACTTGGAAGCCAATGATGGCAGAGCCAATGATGGCAAGGCCTACTGGCCACCCTCCCTACCCCTCGGCCTCCGTTGCTATCCCACCCGCTATTCGGGCAACGGAAGGAAATCGCACTCAACACACTTGTGTGTTGGTGCCTTTCCTTCCGTTTCCCCTACTCTATTGCTAGCTACCCGGGCGGTTTAAGACCAAAGGTCCCGGCTGGTAGTGTAATCGTCTAGAGTGGAACTTCGTACTGATACTAGCTCTTGCGAGCAACTCTCTAAGTGTGTCCTCTTTCTGACGGGGTAGAGGCTCATCAAAGGAACTTGCTACTCAAGTTTCCCTACACATCTAGGAACCAAATCATTAGCGTGAGCTATCCTGCGTCCATACTAGTAGCGTCCTAGTAGCTAGGAGCGAACGTCTCCCTTACAAGACAAGTACGCAGTCTCTACTTAATTTATGTCAACCTATGATTTATCAACTTACCCTGAATAAAGCCAAGCAAATCCAAAAAAAAATATATTACATATACCCTAAATACTAGCCTAAATAAAGCTAAACGTCTCCAATCTGGCCTTTCACAAAATTGTCTTGAAAAAGACTCCTGTTCTTTAGCTTCGTTTATATAGTGTTAGTGACTTTCAATTCTCTATTACAGTAACTGGTTCCTTCTTTGGATTCCTTCTTGCATCCAAACCCCTCTTGATTTCATCAATTGGACTCACCAAACCCCAAAACCTTCGGATCAAAATTCAGTCTGGAAAGGGTACCCCGCTTGAAACCACAATACCCTAAAGAAAGCTAAAGATTCTGGCGGGCAGAAAAACTATCCATCATACTCATTTTCCTTTTGTATCGATTCCTGCACTTTGCTGCAGCTGGTGTTCCTGCTGTGGTGGATTCCTAGTTTCTAAATCTAATTTCTACCGATGCAGTTCCCAAAAAGCAAGGCCAATACAAACAATACTAAAACAATACTGACAATACTGTATTTAATAAGTCTATTGAGGGTCCTGTGAGGAGCGGGCCCCCCCCGTTGACATATCAAAGGTGGACATTAAGTAAGGAGGCAGGGCCACGGGCCAAAAACAGCTAGAAACCGCTGAGGCGTCTGCCCAATTGAGGTGCCGGAGCTTCATCTGTGCCCGGTTTGTTGGCGCCATGCCTGGCTGACCTGCACTCAGGTCGTGACCAAATGGGACCAGAACGCCGCTCTGTCGGGCGCCTCTTCGTCAGGCCGGCCGGCCACTGTGAAACGGTGAGACGGTGACACTCAGCCTTTCGGAATTTCACTCTGCAAGCGGTTGATCACAAGTACCCAGCTTCGCTGTGCTGAAATGGCTGACCCAACCACCCACCTGGACTGTCGTACCTGTTCTTGAATGAGCCAGATGCGAATGAATGCTAGGCAAGCAAAGAACAGCGTCTGCTTTGGTTCTGCAATGCTTGTTTGCGCAGCGGCCTTTCTTCATCGATTCATTAGCCACATATACCCTTGTGATCGCCTGTGTTTGTGGCAAACACCTAGTGCCACCTGGCAAGCTTTGTGCGAAGTGACTGGTTTGAAGCTATGATACGTGCTTTCAAGCACAGGCACTTTGGCAATGCAGAAAGCATGGAAATGGATATTCTGGGTCAATGTAAAGGAGCTGCTCCTGGGAGCAAGTTGTATGACAACATATGACAACTGGTCCATTGTTCTTTCCTCTCTCCAGCCAGTCCCGTCCTCATGAAGGACAGCCATCGCCGGGAAAAAGAACTAACCAAACACATCATCGGCTTCTTCCTGACTCTGCCGTATACCTGCCGTTGCTATGGTTGCACCGTCCCTTCAAACAGCTAGCCATTAAATTGCGGTCAACACTTTGTCCGAACGAGTCTGCAATCATGCTGTATGCTGCTTCACGGTCGCTCAACAAAATCAAGCAATACCAGCTGTATGCTGTGGATAGTGTTTGTCTTCCATCATTGCCAACTCTCTAAACACCACACACCCGCGTCTTCATCATAAAACGCAGGATGTAGGCGTCTGGCTTATCCCTGCTGGATGCAGCAGGGTCCATCAATCGCCCATCTGCACTCCAATGCCTAAGTGACAGCAATACTTCGGAGCAGTGATGCTCAAAGTTCAACGACAACCTGCACAGGCTTTTTACAAACCTGTTCCACGCATTCAATCGCAACAAGCTGTCCTGCTTTCAAATTCGACGGGAAAATAAGTAAGTAAGGGTTTGACCGATATCTTTCCCCGCTGCCCTGCATTGAAGGCAAAGTAAACATCTTACCAAGCAATAGATCGACTGGGCCTTGCCCGCAGGAGATGGCGTCCTTGCTCTGGACGCCTCCGCAAAAACCAAACACATGAACTCTAAATCTCAGGACTAATTAGCGGAATCAGCCAACTTGGCCTTGGGCCAAACAGTGTTACTGACTCTCATGTGAGCTGACATACGTAAGGAACCGTCACCGCCCAAAAGCCGAGTATGTTGATAGTACGGTCAGGGTGGTCATCGGCCTCCACATCATGTTGTGTTGACGCTTCAGCTTCCTTGGAGGGATCTAAAGGTAATGTCTCCAAGCCCCCTGTGGAACATGTCCTAGGCTGGGATCGTGGCAAGGGTGTCCTTTCCAGCACCTGAGCGAAAAGCCCCTTGATGCCGCATGATCAGTTCAAGTCGCAAGATCTAGTAATCTTGTAGCTGTCTGGAAGGATGTGCGAAGGGTGTACGCTGAAAATTACAGGCAAGCCACTGGAAACTTGCTTGCTGGAAGGGATAAACCCTCCAATCCTGGTCAAATCGCCAGCATACAGTTGCAAACCAAAAACCAAGTCTCGACAATCAACGAGTCAGATTGATGAGGCTTGCCAACCTGTGACCTCTTATACAAACGTTTTCTGCACCCTGATTCT